ATACATACACACATACGCCACACATACACACACGCACACACAAAAACACAAAGATCCCCGTATAGCCTGAACACACTGTTGGGGCAAGTGCTGTTGGCGAGCACCTCTGAAGGCCGGCACGGCGCACGAAGGGGCGGTGATCAAACATCACCACTGGACGTGGTGCTGACCACACCACCACTACTCTGGCCCTGTTTGCGGCCTTAATAGGTGCTCTCTGACAACACTCGGTTAAGGCTACACGGGGGACCTTTGTCTTTGTTGTGGGGAGCGGCAGTGTAGCGGTTCGCGCACTGCGCTACGAACCCGGCCAGCCGAGTTCAATCCCGGCTCGTGGCCAACATCGGTGACGAATATATGAGCCGGTCCTGGGCCTCTCCTATGTCTACTCAGCCTTAAATCGAGTACCTGTACCTGGAGCATTGTGCGAACGCCCCCTCGTGCGCCCCCGTTGCCCTTCATAGAGGCAGGTGCTCGCTAACAGCACTTGCCCCAGCGTCCCTGTGTAGGCTACACGGGGGATCTTTGTCTTTGTGTGAGTGGGGGGGGGGGGTGATAGCAGTGGAAGAAGGTAGGGCAATGTTTGCACTTTGTCTCAATCAATCACATTGAGGGGGTAGGGCCCCCATTCCTAAGGGGGGGGGGGGGGGGTCCTTCGGTCCTTTGTCGCCTCCACTTAGTCAAACTGTGTCAAAATTCACTTTGAAATCTCGCGTTATATTTAGTTATTTATGAGCGGAGTCGGAGGCGGTGCGGTCTGCGGCGAGTTCTCCACCGCCGCCAATAACACTGCGCACGGCGGCCCGTCATTTGAGGGCCGTTGCCCGGAACGTCGCATATTTAATATTGTTTGTGTGTGTATATATATATATAGTGGGGAGCGGTAGTGTAGCGGTTAGCGCGCTGGGTTCAATTCCCGCTCGCGGCCAACACCCAGTGACGATTATCTGAACCGATCCTGGGCCTCCCCTAGGTCGACTCAGCCTCAAATGAGTACCTGGTGCGGTGTGTGAACATCGCCACTGGGGAGACAAAGGCGGTCGGGCGTGGTGCTGGCCACCTACCCGCTCGTGTGCCGTGCCGGCCTTCATAGGTGCTCGCTAACAGCACTTGCCCCTACAGTCTGTTAAGGCTATAGGGGGGATCTTTGTCTTTGTGTATAAATAGTGCTCCTCTTAAGGCCACGGTGTTGTTGAGACGAAACGTTGCGACTTGTTTTGTCTGTGCACCACTGACAACTCGGCATCACCAGGCCATCCGTGATGACGATGTGTGATGATGGCATATATTGCCACAGAATCGGAGCAAATATCAGCAGCACATCTCCGCTCCGTGTCTGCAGGGCTCAATACAAACGCGTTGTCGTCAGCCCTCATCGGCTTACCACTCGCCAGTCTCACACAGCTGCTGTGTCATCTTCCACGAAGCCCAAGGTCCACCCGAAAACCGCATCCGCACATAACCGTGGCATCGGATGCGGTCACCCGATGCACAAATGTAAAATAAATTAAAGAAACATTATCCAGTAGCAGTGGGCGACTGTGGTCATCAAGAACAGAGGCCGTAGTACAACGCATAACGAGGCGATGCACCCGATCCGCAAATTCGGAGGCGACATCGCCGCGATTTACACTTCCACGACTCCTAGACGCGGTTATCTGAAGTCGGAGTCGCCTGAAATGTGAAATTGTAGCCGTTGCTTCTGCGTCTACATCAGCAGCAGCAGCCATACGACAACAATAAGAAGCAGCGACTCTACAGGTATTTATTTAGTCACAGTTCCCTAGCACAGGCTCAAAACGCCAAGCGTCCAGCGACAACCAGCACCTGTTGAAGTCGTAGACCACCACGGTGGTGGTCGTCGCCGTGTTCCATACCGGGGGTTCATATTTGGCGTGCACGCCCGAGGTGCTTGCTGGAAGCAACAACGCGTCTGGCTGGGTGTTCCAAACCACCCGCTGAGCTAGAACGCCGCCAGTGGATGAGAGATGTTAACTGCCTCGCCCTGGCATGGAAGGGAGGATCGTGGATTCGATACCGACCCTGGGCGCCTGCTGTATATTTGGAGTTTGCGGTGTCTCTCTCTCATCATCATAACGTTGGCTAGAAGATGTCAACTACCTCGCCTGGTATACAGGAGGTTGCGGGTTCGATCCCGACCCTGACGCCTGCTGTATATTTGGAGTTTGCGGTGTCTCTCTCTCTCTCTGTCTCGCTCCTCGTGGTCACGTGGAGTTTTATCCGGGTTATCCGGTTTTTCCCTCCACATTTAGAATTTGGATACTACACACGTCCACGCGATCGGCCACTTTATTGAGCCATCATTTTCCGCCCAGGTCGCTTCTTTTAAAATAGCTACATGGCTCAAGTGGGCGTTACCTGGTGAAATAAAAAAAAGTGTGTTTGTTTTTAGACACAGAGCCCCCTTTCTGGCTCTCCATCGCCCTTCGCGCTCACTTTCTCTCTTGTAAAATATTCCACCTCGTCTGGCAAAAGACAAACAACAGCCTCGGCGCGTTTGCCAACTTGCAGTTGGGGGAGGGGGGGGGGAACTCCCATAAACTAACACAATGCCGCTGTATAAACAATAACAAGGAGTGGGCGGCGGAGAGGAGAGAAAGATTTAGAAAAAAAAGGTACACCCAGCAAACTTTACTCAACATCCATCATCCGTGGTCCGTATCCATCGGCCAAGCGCGCACCAAGGTCACAAAGTCCGATTCATGAGCAGCAACAGCCGGGCCTCGGCCCAGCAGTGTGGGGGTCGTACCGAATGCCACCCTAGCGGTGTCGACGGTCAGCACCACGCCCGACCTGCGAGCCGGAGGTGACCGGGTCGATTCCATCTCCAGGCGCGCCAGTTGGACCAATGGGGTCGAGTTTCTTAAATCTCCCACCCCTCAACTCCCCCGTGCCGCTGTGCACCCAGCGGTAAGAGTGGGTGCCCCGCAGATATTCCGATTGGGCGAATCGCGTGTGGTGGGGTAAAATGTTGGGCAACTCCCGGGTCATCGAAAGCGTCCGGCCAACGTGGGTTTAGAGGCTAAAAGTGCCCTGCAGAGCCTTTAGGGGCTCTGCAGGGCTCCCTCTCGTGGAGGACCTTCCGCCAGTAGTGGCGTGATGCAGGGAATTGCAGGGCTGCGCCTGCATCTCTTCGGCGGGCGTCGGTTCAAACTCGCGCCCGTGGTTTTGACAGATTTTCCACCTGGACGGGGCTCCACGGTCACGTGACAAACCAAACCCCACAATTAGTTTCGCGATGTTTACATCGCTGAGCTTCTCGCTCAACGGCTCCATGCCCCACGTAGACCGGTCTGACCGCCTCCTCTTGCTATCATCATCATCATCCTATCATCATCCTATCATCATCCTATCATCATCATGTCATCATATCATCAATCATCCTCTCATCATCACACTGTCATCAACATCCTCTGATCATCATCCTGTTATCATCATCATCCTGTCATAAACATCCTCACATCATTATCCTGTTATCATCCTCTCAACATCATGTGGACTCCGGTCATCCTCGCAGCGACTTTCACTGCATCGCGCGCTTTCAGATGCGCTTCTGTGGCCGTCTGGAACGCTCTTCCTTCCGATATTAGGAAGCCACTGGAGCTATGCACTTTTAAACCATCTACATTGACAATCTCATTCCTTTAGAACTGCTTGTTGTTGTGTTTAGTTTGTTGTCCTTCCCCCGCACTTTCGATTAGCACGGTTGGCTACGTACGGTGCGAAAGAAGTTCAACGTACGTCACTGCTGCCATCGCGCGCGAGAGTGGGGGGGGGGTGTGCAGGAAGCCAACAGAGGCCGATGGACTCGGAGAGTTGAGCCCGCACAGGACTCGCAGTTGTAAAACGCTGATGAAATGGACGAGTTGATTTTTTTTTTACAACAAAAGGCAATAGATCTATTTTGTTCTCGGCGGGTTAAACATCGTGAACTTGTAAACGAGAACAACCGCAGTTGTAACAGTGTTGGTTGGCGCTGCCGCTGACAATGGGCCAGGTAAGCGCACACCTGTACGGCAGGGACCTTCCCATGATATTCGCTTACAGATAACACAATAGAGCAGCTCCCAACGTGTACGACTCAGCGTCTGTAGAGACTCACACGGTGGGGGGGGGGAATATCTTTTTTTGTCGTTGTTCCGTCACTGCGACCAGAGTTCGATTCCTGTCCACGGCCACCTACAGCAGCGGGTGATAGCCCAAGTGGGCCCTTGTCCTTCCACAGAGTACGACTCGCCCCTTAAGTGCGTGCGTGCTCGGTGCGTGGTGTGAGACTATCAGAACTGGGGAGACAAAGGCGCCCGGGCCATGGTACTCGCTCACAGCACCCATCACTTGCCCCATGCGGTATATTTTTTTGTTATGTCCCAGCTTCAAGTGCCATTCGTGGCTCGCGGGGAAGACGCCTTTCATTCACGTGGGCCCATTGCACTCTTGAGCAAAGCTTTGTCCATTATAAACCATCATCATCATCAACATCATTACTACCATCAACACCACCACCACAATCATCATCACCATCATCACCACCATCATAACCACCACCATCATCATAAACAGCCATGACCAATCCACTGCTGGACTAAGGCCTCCCCCAAGCCGCCGCCGCCGCTCACGATCCCGCGATGGATCAATCCACCCGGCATCTCTTTAAGCCGCTCCATCTCCCTCGAAGGACGACCTCCTCCTCCTCTTCCGGGACGCGTCCCCCATTCTTTGACAATCCGGTAGACTTACTCAAACTTGGGGGGTGGGGGGGCCGGCGACGTTTCTTGTGACCTATTTTGTCTCTAACAGGTGTAACACACCGCGCCCCCCCCTCCCAAAATAAAAATACAACAGCAAACCTTAAGTCTGGAGCAATCGACAGACAGCAGCCTCAAAATACGAGACGCGTTGCGTAAAACGCACGCGCGCACAGGTCCTGTGCCATCCAGGAAAAAAAACAACAACCCCCCACAAGTGTGGGGGCCATTGCATGGCGGCGGCGGAGGTGGTTTTAAGTTCGGCTCCACCTGTTGGGAATTGGCATCAAGAGCCGCCGCCGCCGCCGCTGCTGCCACACCCCGGAGGAAGGGGGTTGGGGAAGTAAGGCTTCGGTGGGGGGCAGGGGTGTCTGTGAAGGTTGTGATTCAGGCAGAGGGCGCCTCCTGGTGGTGGCGTTGATTCGGTCAAGCCGCACTCTTTAATTCCTTCCGCTCAGTTCGTGAATGCGTTCACCGAGTCGGTCGAGTCGTGTTCGTCCGTTCGGTACATCGCTCATTCGTCCGGCAACTCATCCACCCATCAATTCACCCGTGCGTTCATTCACCCACACCTTAGCCCGTTCACCAACACATCCACTCGCTCACTCATTTCACCAATTCAATCACTTACCTATGCACTTTACTCATTCAGCCATTCATTCAGCCATGCCCAAACTCATTTTACAATGCACTAACCCATTCATTAATTCTTTTGCGCGACGTCAAGTGGGTCCACGGATTTGCAATTCGTAACCCCAATCGCGCGCACAAGTTTCTGTGATCTTCCACGCGAGAGTTCGCGCCCGCGGGGTGGATTCGCATCGGCTCGATGGCGGGAACTTAAAAAAAAAACTTCCACCGAAATTTAACAACTGTGCCCCTGGCGTCGACTGACGGGGCGGCGGAGAGTCCACTCGCAACGAGCCGCAGAGGCAGATGTCACGGAGTTACCTCCGAGATCCATTCAAATAACCTCCAATCCACACGCACGCGCGCGCGCACACACAACACACGCCGTGGTCGCGGGAGGGGCTTGACCAGTGCGTGTGGCCGCTCGTCCCCCCCCCTCCCCCCCCGGAGTGGGGGCTGCGTTGGCGCGTCTCACTCTGCGGTTTCGCGCGTCTCACAGCCATCTCGGCGTTTTTTTACTCCCGAGGCTTTTGGAAGTCTCCGACCGCCTCTGCCAAAGTCGTCCTCGTGCAAACACGACAGCGAGCGCTTCTCGTTTCGAGTCTGAATGCGCGCCGCCAAACGCGACGTTTAAATAACCAACGGGGAAGAAGAAGAAGCAAAAATAAACCAAAACAAGCCGCGTCTTCATAACAAAAAATATAATTGGGTCTCATTTCCCACGGCGATTTGGTCACATTCAGGAGGACAGCGGCGGCGCGTTCCGTGTTTGGACACCGCCGCAGTCTGCACAGAGAAAAGGCGGCCCGGTAAAAACGCGAACATTTGATCGGATTTGCAAACACGACCGCTGTCGAAATCGGGCAGCCCGCGCCGTCATCGCAACCCTTGCCACCGGAGGAGCCGGCCGCTGTGTCCGTGGCCGACCGGGGCAGACGACAATCTTCCTGCCATCCGGTGGCGCCTACGCCGCTCTGCGCTCGGCCGTCGCAGTCGCAAAATTAAATAAACGGAGACCTTCGCTCGCCCACCGCACACGCACGAGTTGAACGCGGCCAACGTTCAATTGTCTGGGGCAGTGCCAGAGGGGTGGGGAGGGATGGCCACGGATGACATGAACACACACCACGTTCGTTTGGCTATGAGCTGGGTCCACATCTGAGCGAGCAGTTGCACGCATCTAAATTGTTGTAAGCAAACAGTATGTTTAACTTCTTTCACACCATACATAGCGAAACCGTGCGCATCGGCGGTGTGGGTGGGAGGACAACAAACTAAAACACAAAAAGCAGTGGTTAAGAAATTAGCTTAGAACTGATTTTTGTGTTTGGTTACGCAGAAACGACTTTCAAGCGGCCATCTGCTCCCGAAATTTGTAGCGGCGTGGTTCACCGCGTGCTCAAAATCGCGAGTTACAATCGGTCGTTACAATCCTGACGTGGGCGGCCCAGAGCTGATCTGACCAGGGGGGGGGCGGAGGGGGGGGGGGGGGGGCTAGGCTATGCCGTCAAGGGCGAGGCCAGACACCAAGGTCCTTATCGGGCTCCTGTTCGCTCAGTTGTGTGGACACAGCAGTTGCAGGAGATCTGAGTTGCGCCGTTTCCAGAGCGCTCGGGTGCGGACCGAGTTAAGGGAACCGTGGTTTTGTCGCTCGCCACCGGGTTTACTCGCCGACGATTTTGCAATCAGCAGCCCGTGGATAAGACGGCGTGGCGGGCCGCAAGGCGGCGCTCGCGGCCGCCGTTGATCCGCAATCCGGATCCTCCGCGAGCCACCAGACCACCAAGGGATCGCTCTCTCCGCTGTCAGCCCACGAGGAAAAGAAAACGTTCTCAAAGCGGTCCAGAGCTTGCGCGCTTAAAACAGACGCTGCTGGAAACAGATTGGTTTGGGAAGCTGATAGGCTGACGGACTAAACAGACACAACAAGGGAAGACAGCCAGAGCCGGCACCAACAATCAACCAAGCTCCGTGATCCTGTATTCGGGATGTTTGACCAAGCCCGTGACTACTGAGTGTTTATACACGTGGCAGAAAACCGGGTGACCCGGAGAAAACGCATCTGTGCGAGGGCGGTATCAGTCAATCCCCTCTACTGCCATTATTCGGCTGGCCCTAAGCTGGGAGGTGGCTGCCTCAATGCCGAAGGAATGGAACGGGGGGCGGGGGGTTTGACGAGCTTGTGTGAAGTCCGTTCATTTATTACCACACAACGCTGTTCGGGCGGCGAGAATCCCTGCGAGCTGCAGTAAAAACACAAAAAGGCCACTCGACTTATTCTAGGCGTTCATTATTTTTCGATTTTGGCTTCTCGCCGCTCGGCACCCTCGCAGCGAGACGAGTGAGGTGACCTCCTCCCATCGTCATCTCTCTCTTATCGAGCTCTGGTAATAACCGTGCTCAATTCGAGAAACGCGTCAACTCTTACAACTTTTATAGTGCTGTTTGTTGCTGGCCGCTTGACGTTTTAAAGCCTTGGGGCCTGTGCTCATCAATCGTGTTAAAAAAAAACACAAACATAGGCTTAGTCTCGTACCATGCCAAACCCACAAACTCTCACATTCACCTATAACGTGCCAACCCCATAGACTGCCACATACACCTATAACAGCTGAGACTACCCATACCCAGCTCATTGCAGGGTCATACAGTGGCAAATAGACTGGCACAAAAGATCCCAAGAATTATAGATTCACAGAAACCCAGAGCCTCACACAAAGATCCTAAACATATCGAATCACAGAGAGCCCAATAAACTCACAAAGACCCAGGTTCACACAGAGACCCATAGATTCGCACGCAGAGAGCCACACAGTCACATGGAGACCCACAGACTCACATGGAGACTCATAAGACTCACACAGTGAGGCCTATAAACCCGCACACATTTTCCTAAGACTCGCATGAACGCACGCAGAGAGCCACAGACTCGCATGGAGACCACGCAGACTCGCAGAGACACACGGGGCGGCCGTCAGGCGTGATGCTGCAGGCTCGCCAACATGTAATCGACGGCGCCCCAGTCGGTGTTGCACAGGATGCTGCCGGTGCTCTGCGACACGTCGTTATCATCGTCGCCACCTTCTTCTCCTGCTGCTGCTGCGTTGCGAGCTCGACCCGCGCGCACGTTCAGGGCCTCCAGGTCCGTGTCTCGGTCCTCGGGCAATCCTGGAACCTGGAAGGAAAGAGAGACAAGGATGAAAAGTCATGCACGTGCATGGCCTCTGTGTATCGCTGTCTCCCAAGGGGCTGTCCTCGCAAGGGTTCAGTGGGCGAGAACGGCGGCGAAATGGTCTCAAACCCCCTCCTCCTCGTCCGGGGATCGTTCCAAACGAGTTTCTGGCAAAACAACGAAAGTTGGGACGAGGCCGCACGCACGCACGGTTCATCACAACGGATGAGGGCAACCGACGCTCGGCTTGGCCAAACGAGCCGAGGGTGACCGCCGATGGCCCCAACCGCCGCTCACCCCCAGCAGGCTGCCGCTGTCGTCTCTGTCGAGAAGTCTCAGCACGTCGTCCGGCACGCTCCAGTTGCTCATCGCAGAGAGCTCCGCCGAGTCTCCCACCACCCCGCCCTCCCCGGTCGTCCTCCACCTCTCCTCTACCATCCTCGCTCCGTCCTCCCTCCTCCTTCCGTCCCAGCGGCCGTCAGCGGCCGGCAGTTCCCCTCCTCTCCCGGCCCTGAGCGGCGATTGCGCTCTCCCGCCGGAGCCCGGCCTGCGGAGGGCGGTGGCGGCGGCGTGGTGCGGCGGAGACTGCATCGGCTGTTTCAGAGCCGGACGGAGCGGCGCTGAGAGGTAAAAAAGTGAAAACGCAAACCCAAGTGACAAGCGGGACGGGGAGGATGGGCGACGAGACCGGCGGAGGGCCGACGATGGCGGAAGGTTCGGCCGCAGGCGAAGCGTGGTCGCGTTGGAGCGGCGACGGCGCCAGAGACGACCCGGAGCAGCCGGCCGCCGCTGCTGCTGCTGCTGCTGCGCAGGTTTGGCTGAAGCAGCGAGCGCGGTGATTTAGGGTGTTTTTGAAAACGTAGTTGTTGGTCACAGGCACGAAACGTGAAGGAGCCAGCAATAAACAGCACTCTTAAGAGTTGTAATCGGTAAGAGTTAACACGTTTTTGGAATTGAGCAAGGTTATTTTAAGAGCTTGGGGAAAAGAGAAGATGGGTGGGAGGGAATTCCACATTGGAGCAGTGGGAGCAGAAAGAGAAGCATTGTGACCTGCAGTGTGGTGTGTGAGTGAGTGGGTAGTTGGGTGTGTGAGTTACTATGACCTGCAGTGTGGTGGGTGAGTGGGTGGGTGTGTGAGTGGGTAGGTTGGTGTGTGAGTTACTATGACCTGCAGTGTGGTGGGTGAGTGGGTGGGTGTGTGAGTGGGTAGGTTGGTGTGTGAGTTACTATGACCTGCAGTGTGGTGGGTGAGTGGGTGGATGTGTGAGTGGGTAGTTGGGTGTGTGAGTTACTATGACCTGCAGTGTGGTGGGTGAGTGGGTGGGTGTGTGAGTGGGTAGGTTGGTGTGTGAGTTACTATGACCTGCAGTGTGGTTGGGTGAGTGGGTGGGTGTGTGAGTGGGTAGTTGGGTGTGTGAGTTACTATGACCTGCAGTGTGGTGGGTGAGTGGGTGGGTGTGTGAGTGGGTAGTTGGGTGTGTGAGTTACTATGACCTGCAGTGTGGTGGGTGAGTGGGTGGGTGTGTGAGTGGGTAGGTTGGTGTGTGAGTTACTATGACCTGCAGTGTGGTGGGTGAGTGGGTGTGTGAGTCGGTGATTGAGAGTGCAGCGAGTGTGCCGCTGTGCCCTGCAGTGCGGCGGTGGTTGAACACGGCGTGGCTGAGACACCACGGTTGGTTTGGCGGCCCGGACACTCCGCATACCGGCGGCAGAGCTGGCGCTGCGCCCGCGCTCCTCAGCCGAGCGGAGGGTGCGGGTGGCGCCGAGCTCTCCCCGCCGGGGAGGGCGACCGCCGGCGGCCGTGGCGACGCGGCTGCTGAACGAGACGGCGCGGGGCCTCGCCGTCGCCGGCGGCGGCTGCCGGGTCCGGCCGGCGCTGGCGCTGCGCGGCCTGACGGCGGCCGGGGTTTGGCGCGGCCCGGCCGGCGTTCCGCGTCTCACAGCGCCGTGTGCCGAGGGTCGATCCCCACCGGAGGAGCTGCTCCTGCTTCGGAATGCGTCGACGGCCCTGGGAAGAGATTGCGATCGATTGTTTCGCGTTCATCGTCGCGGGCATCATCGCGACCCTAGACGTCATCGTCATCCATCACTATCGCGGCACTGCTGCGGTCGCCGTGCTGGGGGTGTTCATCTGTTGTTGTGAGTGCAGCGGGGAAAGCACAGCAGTGGCGCGGGGGAGGTGACTAGCAGCGCGCGCAGTGCGCTCTGCTTATACCCGTACAGCTGCGTTACCCCTCGCCTAGTGCAGCAACCATAACGCCCACGATCGCACCGGACAGAATGAGAGTGAGTGGGAGAGTATGAGTGAGAGATAGTGAGTGAAAGTGAGTGAGACTGAGTGGGTGGGTGACTGCGTGAATGAGTAGGTGTGTGAGTGGGTGAGTGAGTAGGTGAGTGAGTGTGAGTGGGTGGGTAAGTGAGTGAGTAGGTGTGTGAGTGGGTGAGTAAGTGAGTGGGTGAGTGAGTGTTAGTGGGTGTGTGAGTGGGTGAGTAAGTGAGTGGGTGAGTGAGTAGGTGAGTGAGTGTGAGTGGGTGGGTGGGTAAGTGAGTAAGTAGGTGTGTGAGTGGGTGGGTGGGTGAGTGGGTGGGGAGGTGGGCGAGTGGGTGGGTGAGTGAGTGTGAGTGAGGCGCCGTACCCGCGTGTGGGAGTGAGGCTCCGTGCACGAGCTGTGGGGGCAGGGGCCCCGGACCGCCGGGAGGGAGTTGGAGCCGTCTCGGACAGGAGCTGCCCCATGAGCACACGCGCGTCCTCTGCCCTGCGCTCCGCATGCTGTGCCCGGGTCAGCCTGGGTCAGCATGGTGGGGTCAACCACGGTGGGGTCAGCACGGTGGGGTCAACGAGGTGGGGTCAACGAGGTGGGGTCAACAATGGTGAGGCCAACGTGGTGGACGTGTCCCACCTGTCCCTCTCCTCCTTCTCCTTCAGCGACAGCTTCAGCGGCTTCCCGTCGGCCGCCTTTCTCCGTCGGCCGGGACCGCCGGAGATTCCGCGGGACAAGGGGTCGGGGGGAGGAGGGCACGACGACAGAAGCGAGGGTTGAGATCGCGACGTCGTCCTGGCCAAGCCGTGGCCGATGCCGCCACCCCAAGCTCCAACCATTTAGACCAGACATGGGCAAAGTACGGCCCCCGGGCCGTATACGGCCCGTTGGGCTTTTTAATCCGGCCCGTCGAACTTGTCCAAATATTATTATTAAATTTTACCTTTCTCCTGTAATGCCCCCATTTCCTCATTAGATGGCGCACTTTGCCTTGCAAATAAATGCTTTGCTACCTGTTAAAGGCCAAATCCTTTCTTGTAATGATTTTTACATGTCATTTATGTTAGTTCACACAAACACATTTGTTCCTGGCCCGGCCCCTCTGTCAGATTTTAGAACCCATTGTGGCCCGCGAGTCAAAAAATGTGCCCACCCCTGATTTAGACCCTCGGCCGCGGCCAACAACGGTGGTGAATATCTGCACCGACCCCGTTCTCCCCGCGGGTCGACTCGGCCTAAAATGATCACCTGCTGCTGCCAGACCCGCTCACAGGTTGCGCCCTCCCGGCCTCCGTGGGTGCTACTCGCCAACAGCGCTCGGCCCGACGGCAAGTGTGGGCCACACGGGGCAGCTTTGCTTTTGTGCGTGCTTACGGGCGGCTTGGAGGAGGCGGAGGTGAACGGCGCGCGCTCGCGATCGCGCAGCCCCGCGCGCTCGCGCCGGTACTCGGCCAGCTGCTGCAGCCGGCGCTGCTTCATCCACTCGCGCAGCCTGCGCCGCTCGTCCTCCTGCGGCAAGCGCCCAGCGGCACGCGCGGCGCTGCACGGCACGGCGGCACCACGACACGACGGCTCGTTGACGCAATAGCACAGCGGCACACCGTGTGACACGCCAACGGACTGACAAGCTGAGATGCTGGTGCATCGAAACACCCGACACACGGGCATGCTGACAAGGCGACACGCACGCACGTCAACGCCAATACAGACACACGCGCCAACACACCGTGCCCATGGAAAGCAGGGCGGTGGGGGCGGCACGCTCGACAAAACCGTGACCTTTCACCTCTCGGCAACTATCCTCTGTGCCTGCGATGGGCTGAGCCCCATGTCGGCCGCACCGCCGTCTCTGACGACGTCGGCGATGATGTCGCTCACTCCTGTGAGGCCACTCCAGCGCAACTCCTCGTCCCTGAAAACGACGAGGGCAGATGGGTTGGGGGGGGCGACAACATAGAGCAGCCGGGGTGACTCATGATCCACCACTCGCCAACCCGCGGCGGCTGTCAGTTGCCTCCTTGCTACTCTTCTCTTGCTACTACGGCCACGGCTACTGTTCCAGTGAAGTCCCGAACAGCGACACAACCTCGTAAGTTTTATTCATATCGGAGGATTGTCACGGGAGTTATCGTGACCCCCCCAACCCCTGTTACGGATAGGCAGAGCTAATGCATTATTGCTTTCAGGCTTAGTGTGACATTGTTCATTATGCCAAGAAAGCCTCACAGAGTCTCAAGGCTCGGTTTTCAGGGGGATTCCTGCTACGTTGGGCTGTTCGGGCTTCGTGTGGGAGGAAACCGGAGAGCCCAGGGAAAACCCAGCACGCTCAACCAGGCTCAGGTCTGCTTAGCACTGACCTCTGTGATGAGATCGGCCACGCTCCCGTAATTTGGTTACGAACGTTCAATGGGCTTTCACGTGGCTGTGAATTCTGCGTGTATGCGTGTGTGTGTGTGTGTGTGCGCAACACACACCTGTCTACGCCGTAAATTAGCTCTCCGTCACCTGCAAAACAAACACACCAAGTCAGAGCTAACCCGTATGAATACAATGCGAGTACAATTTGAACTTATTTAGCGTTTGATCGCTGCCGCAAATCGAGACGCTTCACAAAGCCTTGCGTGAAGCTCAACAAGTTCCTTTCTTTCGTTGCTGCTACTGCATTGGCAGTGGTGGATGAACACAAACAACAAACTCAACCCATTAATCAATAACACCGTGGCCTTAAAAGGAAAAAAGATACAACGGGTGACGTTTATAGCAATGGCCCTTCAAATGCACCTGTTGGTGTATTAGTGGCCATACTCACGGTTGTATTAAAGTATTAGCTCTGAGCATCGTTGGTACTGCTTTCCCTACCCGCATCAGGGAGGGTCGGTGATGGCACGTCCCTTCCCAAGACGTCCACGGATGTGCCGCTGGACGGGCGGTGTCCGTTCTCCGCTTCATCCACGTCCAGCTCCCACTGTGACGGCGCTGCCCACCCACCCGTCTGCCCCAGCTCTGCGCAAAGAGCGGAAAGTTATGAGTTATTCTAATTATTATCATATACTTATATATATGTGTGCTGCAGATGCATAACCCCATTGTCCTATGTGTAATGACCGAAATTCTAGGCCACTCACCCGAACCAAATGTGCAGCCAAACAGACTACCAGGAAGTAGGCCAAGGCCTCCTATTGGTGCAGAGAGGCCTCTCCGTGGTGATTGGTCGGGAGGCAAGGTTTGCAGGGATTGGAGGAGAGGTTCAAACTGAAAAAAGGCGGGAAGCGAAGGTTGGAAGTTGGGAGCGACGGTCGAGAACCGTTGAGGGAGAAGGACGGGGATCGGCTGAAAGCAAAACAGTGAGAGACGTTTCGAGAGAAAGGGGCTTGAAAGGGATAAAAGGGGAGAGCACAAGGAGAGGGGACGTTCGGGGAGAGTGGGAGTTTCACGAGTCAAGCCAGAAACGGGGCCCAGTGTTGGTGCTATGCCAAATAACGAAAGGCTCCAAGTACAATGCGTGCCGGAGTCTTTACATATGCAAAGCCTGAAACCTTGTCATGTGAATGTGGAATTTCCACCGCTAGAGTTGCAGGGCTGTCCACAGGGGATAAGCACCCATGGCTCAATGCTCATTTGAGCAGATCACTCTGACTCTTGACTCGTATACTCCAGGCCGTGCGTATTGCCCCGGCTGACAAGAGTCTGAAGGTTTGTTAATGAGAAAACGTTTTTAAAGTTGTAGCCAGGCACTCCGAGATGTCACCGAGTGCCATCACTGCCTTGACGTCGCATTGAAACGTAAATGGCAGCGACGCCACATCGATGTGCCTCAGGACCAAAGTCAAAAAGGAGCGTTGAGGCATTGGTGCTCATTTCCTAGTTACAGCCGTGCAGAGCCAGGGGTGGAAATTCCACATTCATATGGCGGGGGCGAGTCTATCCAAAGTACAATCACTTTGATTTACTCACAGAGTGGTACTCAATTTATCGACCCTGTTGGGATGATGGGGTGAGTCAACCCCCCCCCCCACCCACCCAGGATTTGAACCCGTTCCACCGCTGAGAGACCCGGGCGGTTATTGGCGCTGTGCGAGACCGTGCCGGCGCGATCCCACGGTTACGTCGCTGAAGTCCGGTGGTGCGTGCCGGGTCGTACCTCTGTCCGTGGAGGGCCCTCGCCATGGGGCGTGGCGTCCAGCCGTGACCTCGGGGTCTTTGGGCAGCACGACCCCACCCAGCTGCTCAATGGTGTCCACAAGCTGACACGCGGCGGCGGCACGGACAACGCGCCACATTAACAATCGTCGTCGTCGTCGTCGTCATCGTCGTGGTGTCATTTATTTGTCCGCGAAACCCTCACCGAGTTTCGAGACTCAGTTTCAGGGGCGGCGCTGCTACATTGGAATGTTCGGCCATGAATTCCATTCGTTGAGAGTTTGGCTTCGAGTCGGAGGTAGGAAACCGGAGAACCCAGGAGAAAACCCCGGCACGCTGTACAGGAAGGGGATCCGCTCGACTACAGACGGGATCATGAACCTCCCCACCTGCTTGCTGTGCTGCCTTCTCAAGGCCACCTCGCAGCCAAGTGGTTTTGGGAGTTTCACAAATCTCCACGCGATCCACCAATCCTCATCGCGTCCAACGCGCTGGATCTCAGGTGCGCCGCAGCCACCACGCCCGGGGGTGAATAAGCGCGAGCGAAGATGTTCATTTGAAACTCCCTGGGGCCCTGTTCGAGTCCAGACTCAAGACGTTCCACCTCTACTCTGCCAATGGCTAACTGGCCCTCTCGCGATGCCATGAAGAGCCCCACTGCCTCTGTTCAGCGTCAAGAAGTGCAGTCGCATTTAGATGCCGCTATAGAGTTCCACATTGTGTTGAGCAGTGGTAACACTGACAGCAACAAGGGCCTGGGTGCAATTCCCAACTCGGGCGCATTTCTCTATGAAGTTTTTATCTCCTACCCCTGCTCTGCATAGGTTTTCCTCCAGGTTCTCCAATTTCCCGCAACTCCGATTAGCATGGTTGGCTACTTACGATGCGAACAAAATTCAACATGCATATATACATTTTCTCCCAATAGCTAAAACAACCCATAGAATGTAAATGGTGTTGGCAAATTACTCAATTGGGATCACAAACAGCAGCAGGAACATCGGTCCCGCAAAGATTTGGCAGGACCCTCCTGAAATAGAGTCTTGAGATTCAGCGAGGCTTTCCCGAGTACGGCGACAATAATAAAACCGGACGCTGCGCGGACATTGGTGCGAGGTCCTGGGAGCGTCGAGAGAGAAGCGGGGAGCATGGAGGAGGGGGGCGGTGGTGGCCTCACCAGGTGGGCGCTGCGGAAGTCTGCCTCCACGCTGTGCGCCACGCGCTGCAACGCCGCCAGCTGTGCGTCCATGTGCCGCAGCCGGGCGGCCGCGCGGCCGTGCGCCCCCCCGAGCCCGCCGGGCCCGCCGGGCCCCCGCACCGGCCCCGCATCCCCGGCACCTTCCCGTTGTTCGGCCGGCGGCGCCGGCGGCCGCGCCGCCGTCGGACGGTCCTCCTGCAGCAGCAGCAGCCGCCCGGTGAGACGGTCGCCGCGGGACGGCGAAGGCTGGCGCTCTGCGCGGCAGAGGTGAAGAAGAAGCCGGAGTGGTTTATAAACGCTCGATTCGCGAACGGCGTCGTCCGTGCAAGCTGCGGGGCGCAACGCTGCGGGAGAGTCGGCGCCGTCGTGCGCAGCATCTCACAAGTCACGGACGAGCGCTTGGGGAGGCGGCCAGAACCGCTCCCACCCACAATTACCCAATCTCTGTGGTCCTATATGTCTGTAAAACTACTGGGACATCTTCTTCTTCTTCTTGGTTCTTTCGGTAAAGTCACGTAGAAGGGAAATAATCATAAAAATAAAACAATAAAATAAAAAAACATATAAGAACCAAGAAGATGAATCCCTGCAGTCACGAAAGCTTTAAATCGAAATTTTACTGGACATCTGTGAAAAAGAGCTTTATAGCTCATCGAATTCCTCCAGTATAAATGAATATTCTCATTCTGATGTTTGGCCAATTCTGTTAACGAGTGTCTATACGTGTGAGAAGAAAAAGGAGCACCCGGAGAAAACGCAGACGTACGAGCAGGGTGACGCTACATCCCCGTACAGATGGATAATAATTCACTTTCTGTACTGTCATCATACCCTGGCAAGCCAAGAGATGGCGACCTTGACGCTCACAGGGAAGGAGTTTCACAGATTTGCTTGATTCACCAACGCTCCCATGGACCACCCGCCCGGCACTCGCACCCACGCTGATTTCGCGGCTCTATCTCCTCGGTGGACGTCCGCTCGGACGCGTTCCATCCCGTGGCTGCCACTCCGTTATTGCTCCTGACCAACGGCCAATGTCCCTTCTGGCCGTGACGCATCCTGCCCAAGCCCCGCTCACTCTGCTCAACAGTTTAAAACTGCGTCGATCACCAACACCGTCATCACCATTCGCGAAACTAAACCGCGGCCTTGACGACGGGACGCTCACCGCGGCCCGGTACCGGCTGCACCGCGTTGACCACGGAGGCCGCCAAGAGGTGCAGCTCGGCGCTCGATGGCTCGGGGAGGGTGGCCGCCGCCGATGCGGCGGCGGGCCGGGCCGCTTCGCCCGCGGACGCCGCCCCGGCCACCGGCAGGTCCCTGAGCTGGTCGTCGTCGATGTCCACCACGTTGATGAAGCGGTGCGCCAGCTCCACCTGGACGAGCGCGGTGATGGCGCATGTTCAACCACTTAGTCGCATGTTGTTACCGGCATCGTGATGTTGATGGTTGATGATGATCATGATGACTGAGACGAATATGATTGGTGATGATTATTGCAATGATGGTGATTGGTGACTAATGATGATTACGAACAGAGGTGCAGTGATCCACCGTTCTCCTGGTAATCTGATAAATCAGTGAAATTCGATTCAGAATCATCCACAGGACCCTTGCAGACAGCAAACCAAACCTCCACACCAATGAAAACTCACTGGGTGGCTCAGCCACAAGGCACAGCTAACCATCCCACAGCGCAGGGTGTTCACTCACTCACTCACTCGTCCTCTCACTTGCTCGCCCACTGCCGCTGAGTGAATGTGGTGGGGTGGAGGTTGGAGGGGCGAGGGACTTGCTACAGACCTGCTCGCTTGGCTGACTGTGGGGAGCCGTCGAGGCTGGGGCTCCCCCCTGCCGGTCCGGGTAGCGTAGTCCAAACACGACGTCCGGGGGCAGAATGTGCCCAGCCAGCACGGGTCTGCTGTCGTCTGTTCACAATGGCCACACATCATCGTCATCATCACCATCATTGTAATGCCGCCGCCGCCGCATGATATTCACTCACTCTCGAAGAGAGAGGACGACTCAGGGGCACGAGGAGGAACCACAGACGAGCGGGTAAGGCAGTAGCAGCCAGGCGATGAGCCAGCGTCAAATTCCCCCCTGAGCTCTGCGGTCTTCTTTCTATAAAGGTGTTATTGGCAAAATATGGAGTGCTTACAAATAATGAGTGGTTCACGATCACATGCTTTTTGTTTGAAAGGTGTGCGCTGTGTGGGTATGCTACGTACGTGGTGTGTATCTGTGTGTAGGTGTATGCTACGTGGTGTATGTGTGTTGGTGTATATTATGAGGTGTGTGTGTGTGTAGGTGTATGCTACGTACGTGGTGTGTGTATGTGAATGCTACGTACGTGGTGTGTGTGTATGCTACGTATGCGGTGTGTGTGTAGGTGTGTGTGTAGGTGTATGCTACGTACGTGGTGTGTGTGTAGGTGTATGCTACGTACGTGGTGTGTGTGTAGGTGTATGCTACGTACGTGGTGTGTGTGTGTAGGTGTATGCTACGTACGTGGTGTGTGTGTGTAGGTGTATGCTACGTACGTGATGTGGGTGTGTGTGTAGGTGTATGCTACGTACGTGGTGTGTGTGTAGGTGTATGCTACGTGGTGTGTGTGTGTGTAGGTGTATGCTACGTACGTGATGTGTGTGTGTGTAGGTGTATGCGACGTACGTGGTGTGTGTGTGTGTAGTTGTCTGTGTGGGCACCTGTCGTGGTGGTGTTGGTGGCCGCGTGCCGCATGCTCGCCGCGTTCTTGCTGGTGCTAGCAAACAGGTGAAGCTCGGCCGAGGAGGGGACGGCACCTCGCAGCACGTCCTGCCGCGCTAGCATGTCCCTGAACGCACCTGCACAACACACAGAGAGCACACCAACACCACGAGCCCTGGTCTATCTACTGCTAGATGATGCCCTCCCCACACCTGCTGCACCAGCGCGTTCCTAATCGAGCGTGCGCAACACTAAAAGACAAATATCTCCCATATAGCTTTCTACAGACTGTTAGGGCAAGTTCTGTTATTGAGCGCCTACGAAGACCGGCACGGTACACGTGGGGATGGGTGGCCAACGCCACGCCTGGCCGCTTTTCTCTCCCCCAGTGGCGATGTTTACACACCGCACCAGGTACTCAGTTGGGGCTGAGTCGACCTAGGTGAGGTCCGGGACCGATTCAGATAATCGTCACTGGTGTTGGCCGTGAGCGGGAATCGAACTCGGGTCGCCGGGTTCGTAGCGCACTACCGCTCCCCACACACCACTCGCGCACACCACACACACCCCACCCCGGCTGGGTTTTAGAGGCAATCGCTCATGCACCTGATCTCTCCCCCACCTTGCACCCTGCGCACTCTGCAGCGCCAACCAATCCAACACAGACGCCATCGTCGCCGGCATTTGAGATTTACAACTCACAAACCCACGGGCTGGCAAGGCTGTGCGCGTCATCCTCATCCGCTTGTCACGCGCAGCTAACATTCAAACCCGCTGCATTGTTACATGGGGGGATCCCTCGTCTTACCGGCTCTGATCACGTATCCGTCTCCGTCCAGGTCAACTTCTGTCTGCTGCGACTCCTGCCGTTACACAGAGGCCCGATTGGCCGTTCAGAGATTCCGATTAGAACACACCACACGGACACCAGCAACCCGCTCACGCTTCAATGCGCCCGGGGCATTATGAAGGGTCACTTGCGCGCATTTGCTCAAAGTTTCCTTGACGAAAAGCATTTCCGCATTCACTTACTCGCCATTATCCTTTTTGGGGTCGCTAAAACCAGAACCAATTTGTGGCAAGGCAACATCGTTTGACTGGCCTCTGCCATAGAAGTGTGGAATTTCCTCCACTGGCTCAGTGTCCCTGTGAAGCCCCACCACATGAAGCCAAAGTCTCTCATTTACCGGATCAGCCAAACATCCCAATGTAGCAGGAACCTTCCGACACAGAATCTTGAGACTCAGCGAGGCTTTCCTGGGTAAATAATTGTCATACTAATAAACATTATTGTGGGAATGGTTCATACACACACTCACGGACACACAGATACACGACACACATACACAGATACACAAATCGACAGACAGCCAGATACACATACAGACTTACAGACACACGGACAAACACACATATAGAGACAAAGATCCCCCGTATAGCCTTAACAGACTGTAGGGGCAAGTGCTGTTAGCGAGCACCTATGAAGGCCGGAACGGTACACGAGGGGGTGGGTGGCCAGCACCACGCCCGACCACCTTTGTCTCCCTAGTAGCAATGGTTGCACACCACACCAGGTACTCATTTGAGACTGAGTCGGCCTAGGGGAGGCCCGGGACCGGTTCAGATAATCGTCACTGGTGTTGGCCGTGAGCGGGAATCGAACCCGGGTCGCCAGGTTCATAGCGCAGCGCGCTAACTGCTACACAATCGCTCCCCATATAGAGACACAGACACACATACATACATACAAACACACAGACACACAGACACACAGACAAACCTCGCGCGTCCGTGGTTGTCCCTCCGTGGGGATGATGGACTCTTCGGGTCTGAAGGACACGGACGGCCTTTTGTTGGACGTATCGGGGTCCGTCTCCTCCGCCCGGCGTCTCCTCCTGCCGAACACAGCTCATTGCCATCAAGGTTTCAGTTCAGCTGGGTCTGCATACCCAGCACACCACATCCAGTATACTATCTCGCTGTGGCTCTCGCTACTAACACAGGACCCATAGACTTACAGGGGACTCACAGACTTGCAGAGGGCACATACACTTTCTAAGGACACATCCTTACATATGACCCATAGACCTTTATAGGACTATAGACTTACATATGACTATAGACTTATATAAAGACCTATATAAATAAATCAGACCCATGACTTAGATAGGATCCATAGACACGAACCAAGAGACTTACATAAAACCCATAGCCTCACATAGGACCACAAGCTTACTTAGGATTACGGCTTGATCTCAGCTGACTGTGGCTCATGCTATGACTGTGGCTCATGCTATGACTGTGGCTCATGCTATGACTGTGGCTCATGCTATGACTGTGGCTCATGCTATAACTGTGGCTCATGCTATGACTGTGGCTCATGCTATGACTGTGGCTCATGCTATGACTGTGGCTCATGCTATGAGTGTGGCTCATGTTATGACTGTGGCTCATGCTATGACTGTGGCTCATGCTATGACTGTGGCTCATGCATTGACTGTGGCTCATGCTATGACTGTGGCTCATGCTATGACTGTGGCTCATGCTATGAGTGTGGCTCATGCATTGGCTGTGGCTCATGCTATAACTGTGGCTCATGCTATGAGTGTGGCTCATGCTATGAGTGTGGCTCATGCTATAGCTGTGGCACATGCTATAGCTGTGGCTCATGCTATAGCTGTGGCTCATGCTATGACTGACTGTGGCTCATGCTATGAGTGTGGCTCATGCTATGACTGTGGCTCATGCTATGACTGACTGTGGCTCATGCTATAACTGTGGCTCATGCTATGACTGTGGCTCATGCTATGACTGTGGCTCATGCTATAGCTGTGGCTCATGCTATAGCTGTGGCTCATGCTATGACTGACTGTGGCTCATGCTATGAGTGTGGCTCATGCTATGACTGACTGTGGCTCATGCTATGAGTGTGGCTCATGCTATAACTGTGGCTCATGCTATGACTGTGGCTCATGCTATGACTGTGGCTCATGCTATGATTGACTGTGGCTCATGCTATGGCTGTGGCTACTGGACACCTGCCACATACTCCGGTCTTATTGACACCCTGGCCCCAGAAGTTGGTGACGAGGACAGTAAAACCATCACTCGTGCCCCCCCATCATCTCACCTCCTCGCGTCACGCTCGTTTGGGGGGGCCGTGTAGATCAGCTGTAGCCCACTGGAGCCGATGTTTTCTGGGGGCAGCCCCCCATTCTGGATGCCTTGCAGCTGGGAGAGCGGGATGAGGTGGGGAACGGAGCGCGGAGGAGATGGAGCGCGCGCCGGGCTCTGCGCTCGTGACAGCGACAGAGGAGGAGGGGGGGCGGGATTAGGGTCAGAGGTGACGTCACAGCGGCTGTAATTTAGACCCCGAGTGGTGCCACACGCAAAGTGATGCCCTCATTCTGATGATGATGATGATGAAATATTCACGCTGATGTTGAAAATATTGATGGTAATAAACATCATTAAATGGCTGAAAACATCTTAAAATAAAAACACAATGCAGGACCCTTGTAAAACAGAGTCCTACCACTCAGTGCGGTTCTACTACCGGACAAGAAAGTTATTATTATCATTACTCTCGTGGAGCAGCACGCCACTTCGTCCGCGTAAAGCCAACTTCTCACCGCAACGGGCGGCAGCGCTGGGAGGTGCAGGAGTGGCAGGGCGAGCGTCTGCCCGGCGGCGTTCGGCACAGCCATCGGCGGGAGCATCAAGTTAACTGTCGGAGGTGGCGGCGGCGGCGGCTCGCCGTAGGTAAGGTGCGCCGTCTGGTACGACGTCGCCGGCGGCAGTGATGGCTCAAAGCCCAAGAGCGGCCACGCCGACGCCGCCGCCGCCGCCGCCGCCGCCCCCTGGCCGGACGCCACCGGGAACGCCGGCCCCGGCGCGGGTGCGGTGGGGCCGGCGGCGCCAGCGGTGGCCGCCCGACGTGGTGGGGAAAACGGCGCGGCGCCGTCACGCGGCGCGCCCGACAGCTCGTACAAGTCCAGGTTGAGGTGCGCGTGAGCTACGTCCGGCCTGCGCTGGGAGCGCCGCGCCTGCTGCTCGCGGGCCTCCTGGAGCGAGTGCGGGTCGTACTGAGAGAGGTCGAGGTGCGTTGGCGGCGCCGGCGACGCCGCCGGCGGCGGCGGCGGCGCTGCCGCGGCGTGGGGAGCAGCGGCGTGCGGTTGCGGCCGACCGTGATGACCGCTGGGAGGCCAGGCGGTGGCGGGGCGGCTCGGCGGTGCAGCTCGTAGCGTGGGGACCCCTGAGCGGGCGTGTGCGACAGAGGGCTCGGCGTTGAGGTTTTTAAACGACCGTTACCCCCCCAGTTGAATCGCGATCGTGCGGGCGGCGTCGCGTCCCGAGACAAAGACTCTGTTCGGGAAATCTTGCAGAGCATCCCAACCCTTCATATGTGAGAGAATGGCTCACGGAAGTGGATGTCAGAGCTACCTCATTCAAGTAACCACTGGTCCACAACGTAGGAGCCAGCACAAAGTAAATAAATAAAGTGAATGTATTACCTTATTAAATGAGCTCTTCGTCCAAATTAATGTAACGGTGGAATCTAAATTCGCATTTTCAGCATTCTGTCCCTTGCTTCCGATAACGTGCACCAATCGCGTGTGCACGTGACCATTTATATGGCTATGTCGGGTGGTGGAGGGTTACTCAACAAATATTGGAAACAATAATTTCGTGGCTGAGCCCAAAACATCGATTACGAAGCATGACACTGGCTTCGGAGACCTGTGTGTTAAGAATGCACGTCGACATTATTTACCAGCGAATGCAAGCCCGGCGCCGCTTTTGATAAACAGTGGCAGCGGCGGTGGCGGCAGGAAAGTTGGCAGCGCCGACTGCGGCGGCAGCGTGAGGAGCGGCATGCCGCTCAGCGCCGGCGTGGTGAGGCCGGCGGCCTCAGGCTCCACCGCGATCGGTGGCAGCGAGAGCGAGGGCTGGCCGAGCTGAGCCGGCAGCGCCCGCTGGCTTTCCCCGCTCAGCGTCAGCAGCGGCAGCGCCAGCTCGGACGCCGACATTGCAGCCGCAGATCGGGCAAAGTCCAGGCCGGGGGCGTCCAAATCCTCGAGCACCAGCGGCCTGGACAGCTGGGCCGGTAGGTGACGAGTTAACTAGGAGCAATTTTCATGATATGATATAATATACATTTTCACGGTACCATATTTTCCATTATCCATTATCAAGGATATTTTAGGGTATACATTTTCATTGTACAATATAATATATACATTGTAATCATATGATGTTAACTTTAAAGATAAGATACACACTCTCAATTTTCATGAAATTAATCGAATGATATTCTTTATCATCCTGAGCTACGCAGTAAAAAAAAAACTCTACTTCGGCCAATGAAGGAATCAAGCGAATCACACAGCCACCTCGATGGTGCCGTGGTCCGACAGGCACGTTGCACTGCCCGCTTGGCCACCCGGCTCCAGGGGTCCTTGTGCCGCCCTCCCTCCCAGCAGAGATCCATTACCCAGCGGCACCGCAGGCAATGCAGTGGGGCGGTCAGCTGGCAGTGGTGGTGGTGGTGGTACTGGTGGTGGAGCAGATACTGGTGGTGGAGTTGGTGGCTGCTGCCGGTAGCTCGTGTGGGTGTGTTCACGGTGGGTCTCATCGTGGTAGTTGGAATCGTGGCTGGCACGGTCGTGGTGGTTGCGGTCGCGTTGAGTGTGATCGTGGTTGCCGCGATCATGGTGGACATTACCACGGTAAGTCTGATCGTGGTGCGTACGACTGTGGTGGTAGCGGTCGTGATCGGCATGATCGTGGTGGGAGTGCGGTGGTGAGGGCGGTGATGGTGGTGGTGGCACAGGAGGTGGAGGAGGAGGGTGCCTGCTCTGGTCGGAGCTCATGAAGCCGGGCAGCGACATCGCCACTGCTTGCATCATGGATATGAAGTTGTGCTGCTGCGTCTGCCAGAGAGGATGTAGGGCACCATTCAAAAACAAAAAAGACCAGGAATATCGACTAAAATCTCACCCATTGATTCCTCTTCACATGTCGAGAAATTCGGTCTACAAGACACCAATTGTTTCATCTCATCCACCACTGCATTCAACCACCACACTGCAGGTCACAACAACACACTCACCCAATGACTCACCCACTCACCCCTCAATCACTCACGCTCCACACTGCAGGTCGCGAAACTTCGCTGTCTGCTTCGTCCCTCACACTGCTCCACTTTGAAATTCCCACCCATCACCTCTTTTTCAAAGCCCTCATAATAACTTTGCTCACTGCAAGAAATGCGTTAATTCTTATCGCTAGGACAACTTTGACAGTAGTGTTTGTTCTGGCTGCTTGGTGTTTCTTGGCCTTTGAGCCTGTGCTCTGCAACTGTGTAAAAATAAACAAAACTGTCGTGAAGGAACGCACAATGATCCTCGGAAGCTACCGAAATGCACTTGGGGACTGTCGCGTGCGGGACACGGGGCATGCCGCGGAGTCGGGCAATGCAGTGGCAGACGCAGCACGCGTGGGAACAACGGCAGGAAGAAGAATATGGAGAGGGTGGTGCTCTACGGCTCTACGGCTCTACGGCTCTACGGCTCTCCCGGGTGTTCTCGTGGCGTCCGGCACGCCGTCCGACATTTCACTGCACGAGCTGGGAGCGTCTCCAGGAACTGAACTCCCAGCGTTTAGAGGAAACTCTGAGCGCGTGGAGCAAAACACAACCAGCAAACGCGCCGCAAAGCTGCAAGCTTTGGCAAAAGACAAATCGGACTCCACGGCTCCGCCCCTTCTGTAAAGTGCAAGCATGCTCGCATAGCATCGGCATCTCACAGATATCTTCCATTTCATATAAAAAAAAACTAATTCTGTATCGGGGAGCTGATGGGCTTGGGCCTGCTCGATTTGGCAGCGCCACTCGTGAATGTTTGAGCGTCCACGGGGGACACCGCGTGACATAACTCAAAATCACATCAGAGAGTTGTATTGCAGCACAAACCGAGAAAACCCACGCGGGTAAGCAGCAGACGACGGTGCTGTTTGATGATGACGCTGACTCCGACGATTCCTCACCTGGGCAAAGCGCTGAACCTCCTCCATGAAGGCGACACGCGATGACCCGGAGCCGGCGTCGGCTGCAGCGTGGGGTCGCTCCGCGTGGCTCGACCCCCCGCGCCCTCTCCCCAGCTCCCCCGCAGCCCGAGCCCTTGACTCCCCGTGCAGAGACGCCATCGACTCCCCGTCGGTGGGCGCCGCTCGGAGCGACGGATCGGTCCTGAAAAGTCGTGGCGGTGATTGAGTATCGAGGGAGTTTTGTTGAACCAGGCGAGAGCTCAGGAGGCCAGGCAGAGCATCGTTTGCTAGAGCGACCGAGCTGGGATTTGCCCACGTGATAGTGACGGGAGCACCCACGCACGCGCTCTATCACTCGCTAACTCACTCACTCACACTGCCACCGTCCCCTCTGCGGAGACAACGCGGTATTGGAATAGGAACCAGAAGATACAAATAACACAGCCAGACAGCATAAATTACATCAGATACAACACGAATAACACAACCAGACAGCACAAATTACATTAGAATAGAAGACAATAACACAACCAGACAGCACACATTACATTAATACGTATAACACGAATACCAAAACCAGACAACACAAATAACATTACAATACAACAGAAATAACACAACCAGATAGCACAAATAACACAGACAGCACAAATAACATAACAAGACAACCAAAACAACACAACCAGACAGCACCACTAACAGAACAAGGCAACACAAATAACACAACCAGACAGCACCACTAACAGAACTAGGCAACACAAATAACACAACCAGACAGCACCACTAACAGAACAAGGCAACACAAATAACACAACCAGACAGCACCACTAACAGAACAAGGCAACACAGATAACACAACCAGACAGCACCACTAACAGAACAAGGCAACACAGATAACACAACCAGACAGCACCACTAACAGAACAAGGCAACACAAATAACACAACCAGACAGCACCACTAACAGAACAAGGCAACACAAATAACACAACCAGACAGCACCACTAACAGAACAAGGCAACACAGATAACACAACCAGACAGCACCACTAACAGAACTAGGCAACACAAATAACACAACCAGACAGCACCACTAACAGAACAAGGCAACACAGATAACACAACCAGACAGCACCACTAACAGAACTAGGCAACACAAATAACACAACCAGACAGCACCACTAACAGAACAAGGCAACACAGATAACACAACCAAACAGCACCACTAACAGAACAAGGCAACACAAATAACACAACCAGATAGCACCACTAACAGAACAAGGCAACACAAATAACACAACCAGACAGCACCACTAACAGAACAAGGCAACACAAATAACACAACCAAACAGCACAAATAACACCAGAAAAGACAGAAGCAATAACATGGTAGACATGAGACAGTAGCAAGTGAACTAAATTATATAACTCACTATGCTTTATAACATACAATTTACTACATTCAACACATGTCATTCACTATACACTAGATATTGCACAACGCATTTCATGAACATATATTTTTGCTTCAGACCCCAAAACACAGATGACCAACATTTCCCTTACACCTATCGTCATAACCATTGAACAGTTCAACCAAACTTCTCACGGTAACTCTACCTCTCACGTCACACGAGCAGCAGCGGTGGCGGCGGGCAGGCAGAGTGAAGAATCCGCGAGCACCACGGCCACGTGGACATCTCCGTATCCCAAACACCACCACCGTCCCCCCCCCCCACTCTCACCGCGATCTCTAAACACAGTTGCCTGGCAGCGGTCGCACTTGGCGTGGCCACGCGGCGTGGGTCGCACGGTTGTTTACCTAGCGCGGTGACGGCTACACCGGAGCAAACTTAACAGCCTTGGGGCCGGGGTAGCCGGCCTTGCAACAACGGCAGCAGCATCCAACAGCTACCACTGACCGCTACACCGGACTACACTTCATAACTAGAGGGAGTAGCCGTGCTTGCAATAGCAGCAGCAGCAGCTGCTGCCACTGACAGCTACACCGGAATAAACTTCACAGCCTGCGGCCAGCTAGCTGGCCTTGCACAACAGCGGCAGCAACAGCTACAACTAACAGCTATGCCAGAGTAAACTTCACAACCTGGGGCCGGGTAGCTGGCCTTGCAACAATAGCAGCAGCAATAGCTGCCACTGATCGCTACACTGGACTACACTTCATAACTAGAGGGAGTAGCTGGCCTTACAATAACGGCAGCAACAGCTGCCACGAAGTGAAAGCTAAATCGGACGGCACTTCATAACATAAAGGAGTAGCTGGCCTTGCAACCATAGCAGCAACAGCTGCTATTAAGTGACAGCTAAATCGGACGACACTTCATAAGTAGGAGGAATAGCTGGCCTTACAACGTCACAGCTTCCATTAAGTAACAGCTAAATCAGACGACACTTCATAACCAGAAGGAGTAGATGGCCTTGCAACAACAGCAGCAGCAACAGCTGCCACTAAGTGAAAGCTACACCAGACTACACTTCATAGGCAGCAGGAGTGTAGCTGGTAGCTGGCCTTACAACAACAACCACTGCTGCCCTTCACTACTAAGTGGTGGTGATAGGGCCACAACCAGTCCAGGTTTCACCTCGGTAGTACAGGAATTGGCGTCTGTGCTCAGGTGGATAAAGAAATTGATTTGAACTGAGATCTGGTACCGGTATTGCTGTGTTGAACCTTATCACCGGAGACTCCACAGTGCTGATAACAGACCGAGTGCTGACTAAGAAATATGTCTGTGTTTAGTCTACAGTGGAAAAAGTGGTGACCCCAGGTGGTGATGTCACCATAGCGATGGTGCCAAGTTAGGTGCACAAATCTTGCTAGCAGGTCAAGGGACAGACCTAGGTGCTGTGGGTTGACTGCAGATGCACCGCATGTGCTCCCTACTATGCCAACTTGCTATGCTATGGCCACATGGCACTCCGCTCATCGTTATGAACACACACATTCACTTACACACACACAAAACACAGACAAAGATCACCTGTATAGCTTTTGACAGATTTTTTAAGCAAGTGATGTTAGCGAGTAGTGCCTATGAAGGCCGGCACGGGGGTGAGTTGCGAACACCACGCACGGCCAACACCACGTCTAGCCGCCTTTGTCTCTCCAGTGCTGATGTTTCCACACCGCACCAGGTACTCGTTTATGGCCGAGTCAATCTAGGGGAGGTCTAGGACCGGTTCAGATAATCGTCACTTGGTGTTGGTGGCCGTGAGCGGGAATAGAACTCGGGCCGCCACTGTTATTGGTTTGTAAGTGAGAATCGAACATGGGCTTTCTGGGCCAGTAGCGAAGCGGGCAAATCACTGTGCCACCGCTCCCCACTGACTGTCGGGTGTTCACTGATACAGACGACACGGACGGCTGGAGTGGTGACCCCACCTGGATGAAGATCCCTCCTGCTGCTGCTGGTGCAGGGGTCCCAGTTGAAGCCCAGGGTCCTGTTGCAGGCAAAGACAATGAGCGCTCAGCTGTTAATTCAAAGGTAAACGGGGCCACTTTGCCGCATGCAATTTTGCCTGAAGCTGGAGAGTTCTGGGAGGCTCAACTGGGACACGTAGCAAACTGGCCCAATCTTCCATCCCACCGTCAGTCTCTCCTCCTCCCCTTATGCCCTCCTTTCACTACCTCCCCTCATCTCTTCCTCTCCTCCTTAACCCCTCCTTACGTCTCCATCTTCGTCTTTCATCTCTACTCCTCTCCCCTGATCTCTCATCCTCATCTCCCCCCCCTCTCCTCTCACGTACTCCTCCCCGCCTCATCTTATCCTCTCCCCTCGTCTCCGCTCCTCTCACCTCTCTTCCTCCTCCTTCCCTCACCCCCCCACGCCTCTCCTCCTCGGTCTTATCCTATTCTCTCCCGTTCCTCTGCCCCTCTCCCCCCCTCCTTTCCCTCTCTCCCCATCATCCCCTCCGCTTCTCCGTGGCCCTCTTCTCACCTCCTCGCGCAGGAAGCTGAGGCTGGACTTGCGGCAGGGCTTGACGACGGAGGCGGTGGGCGACCACAGGGACGTGGGCGACTCGGGCCGGCTACCCTCGCCCGAGCTCTCGTCCCTCGGCTCGTCCCGGCCGCGTCCTGCCGGGGCGTCGACGCGCGGAGCGACGCGCGGAGCGACGCGACACGCATTCACAGAGTAAGCTCCAAGACTGTGATGCTGCCTGTGACGCCCGCAGAAGCGGATATCGCAGAGCTACCTCTGAGATCCCTACTACTTCAAGTGACATGTGCTCCACACGCAGTAGAGGGCAGCACTCTCCCACTCACTTGAGAGTAATGCTTGTTGTATGACATTCAAAAACGATATTTGAAATCTCAGAGTTGGAATATAGACATTAAGTGCAGAACCCCAAATTTGTTTGTGCATTTTATTAGTGACCGGGCTAAGACCATCAACTCGCTGCACTTTGAGAACCTGCTGGAATCATGGGCGGCTGACACCTGGATTTAAAGCCTTAGGGGCCATCCATGTAGTACGTATGCAAAAAATCTGTCAAAACTTGACCCCTCCCTGTACGCACGCGTATTATTTACACCCCCCCCCCAACCTGTGTACGTACGCCTGACGCACCCCCACCCCCCCCCCCCCCGAATCCTATAGAACGCCCGATATTGAATCCATGCAGAAACGATCAAGGATTAATAATATTAACGTGTTTAAGCAAACAGATAGTCCACCGCCGGACTATCTAACTCATACTCTTTGGTTATTTCGGTAAAGTCATGTAGGTCTCAAAGTAAAATAAAAATAATCCAGCAGTGCTGTTCCACTGCTGAGGACGACCGCTTGTGCTGCGATCGAAACGTCGTGATAAATTATTTTTTATTTTATTTTATACCCACATGACTTTACCGAAAGAACCAAAGAGTATGGATTCCTGCAGTCACGAAAGCTTCAAATCAATATCGAACTCATTTGAAGGCCAATGTAGACAAATTATTATCGAGGCTTCACCCTCCCACCCATTTCCTATGCGTACGTACATTGTTAGTAAACCCCTCTATACGCAAGTGTACGCATTTGGGTTAACCCCCCCTCCCCCCTCCATGCGTACGTACTAAATGGATGGTCCCTTAGCGGTGATGGCACACAATGGCCTACTCTTGCGAATTACGTCAGGGAATCTTTCACGTCCGCTGCGAAGCAGACGGCGCGTAGCGTTCTTACAACGATTGTGACACCGCAGTATTAACCAGGGCGGATTGATTTGAACCGCGAACCACTGCGACGAGCGGCGAAACGCGCTACCGCTGGGTCAGCTCACCGCCCCCCGCAATGACTCGACTCGAAATCGCAAAGCCACCACGGCCACAGCTGTTGATGCCACTGCACCTCCTCCTCCTCCTGGCTACCGACGCTTCCTGCCCTCCGCAGCTGCTGCACGGTCTCCAAGATCTTCCCCGACAGTCCCCCGACATCGTCTCTTTGAATCACACAGAGGCTCACAAACTCCACAGAGACCCCACAGGTCTACCCTAAATGGATCCTACCATCTGGCATCGGGATTCCTCTGGGTCACCGGACTCGTGGAGACGACCCCAAAGACACGGTACACAAACGATTCAATGAGCAACTGCATTAGTTAACTGGCACATTGATTTAATTGGCAGCTGCCCCTGGCAGAGTCACCGTGTGGTCCGAGCTGTTGATCGTCGTCGTCGTCGTCCCGCGAGTCTCGCACATCGTCGACGTCCGAATCCGACGTCTCCAGCTCGTCGCCAGCCGCGGCGGCGATGGGAGTCGCGCGGTCTTCCTCCTCCTCCCCCAGCGCCGGGTGAACCGTCGCCACTTGCGTCCGAGGACCCAGCACCGGCCTGGAGGGCGCAAGCGAGGGGCGGAAGGGCACGGTCGCACGCACCGCACGGCTGGAGATGGACCCTCGGTGGGCCGGGCCACGATGAATGGGCCCCCAGTCCACAGAGGATGCGCCTGGCCTCGTCGGTGCCACGCCGATGATAATAATGAATCATGATGATAATGCGCAATTTGCAACGTGCGCAGTTGGCTCACTCTCAAGAGAGGGTATGAATCGGAGATGCGGGAATCCAGAGACGAGCAGGAAGGCTGCCAGATACCGGTGCCGGAAATTGCCCAAGCTCTGTGGGGTCCAATATGGGGATGTTTGTCCAACACCACTGACGAGTGTTTATACGCGCGGGAGGGGAAACCGAAGCACCCGGAGTAAACCCAAGCGTGCGAGGTTGGGCAAACCTCCATCCCCGTACAGATGGAATAAAGATGGCAAGGCCGGGAGATGGTGACCTCGACGCCCACCGGTCGGGAGTTTCACGAATGCGCTTGATCCACCGACCCTCTCCGCCTGCACAGGGCTGCAATACAGCCAACGTGCAGCACAGCCACCAGCGCCGGTGTTGGAAACTTCAGTGCGGCGCACCCGGACTCACCCTGCCGATTTGTGGCGTGCGAGCGCGACGCGCTGGGCGGCGGCGAGGGGAGGAGGCGGCGGGGTGTCAGAGGAGCCGTGGTATCCGGTGTCCGTGCTGCCCCCCTTCTCCGATGATCGCTGCGCCACCCCCACCTTCACCCGCGCCGACCCCACCACCGTGTCCTGCCGCACCGACATGACACGACACTTTGGCATCCCACTGATCCCAAAAATCCCACCAATAGCACCGATATTTATGATCCCACTGTTCCCACTGATCCCACCAATAACACCGATCCCACCAATAACATCGATCTGACTGATCCCACTGATTACAACGATCCCACTGATCCCACCTCAAACATATGAAAAGATACCCCCAGTGGCAGCTGTCCCTGTACGGCACAGAAGGAGCCGATGTCGCTACATGTAATCGAGTAATCGATCACACGAGCAATCCCAATCAAGTAATTTGCAGGTACTTTTAGAATTTGGCAATTTGGACCCTGACGCTGGCACACTATGTCCTACCCATTTCGACTTACTGCGGCGTATTCGTGTTTGTTAATACACGCGACCACAGCCGTAACCAACGACGGGCCTGTTCGGATTCGAGCTGCGAACCTCCGGAACGAGAGGAGAGCGCGCTGCCGCGGGGCAGTGACGATAGCGCGGGCGACACTGGTACCTGCTGCGCAGGGCTGGCGGCGGGCCGCAGGCCGTGCCGGCGCTCCAGCAGCCACAGGCTGGTGAGGAGGGCCGCCGTGGACGTCCGAACCCTCATGACCGCGCCGTCCCCTCCTTTGGCGCGGTGTCCCGGCGTGGCCCGGCGCCGATCAGCCCAGCGCACCATCCACTCCAGCAGCTTCCCCTCCGCGCTGCCCATCCTCTCCCTCACCTGCGGTGGAGCGAGGCAACAAGGTGAGGCTCATGCCACGCACTACCTGCTTACCGCGGGCATCCTGGGGAGCAGAAGGAGGTCATCTCGCCCAGCGCTCTCGCTGATATACCGTGCGCCTTGCTGTCTGCTGACACAATCGAGCACTTGTTCTCACAAGGTTTCGCGTGCGCCGCTTACCGTGGGCACATTCAGCAGTTGGAATAGTCTAGCCGAAAGTTCGACCGAGCCGCTATCTCTGCCGCGCAGTCTCATCAGGGCCTGCGGCCATCCTGCCACCAACGCTCCCAATATTATCGCTCATCAAGCACTTACGAGCGGGGGAATCTTCCGAACTTGTTCTCCGCGTTAAACGGACACGGGCATCGCTCGGCACGAGCGCTCACCTCCTGCAATCCAGCCGCTCCTTCAGGGGACTTTCCCGCCGCGTGGGTCAGCCGAGGGTGGCGTCCCCAACCGCCAGCGCTGCTCGACTCGAGCCACAAGCCCTCCGACTCGTCCACCGGGAGTCGTCCCGCATCCGCCTGCGCCTGCCGTCGCGCCCAGAAAAGCCCACCGGTCGGACCCTTCCGCACCGTCTCACCGGCGAGCAGTGCCGGTTTACTCCACGCGACCTGGAAGAGCTTTGGGGGCGGGGGGCCGAAGGGGCCGACCCTCGCGAACGGTGCCTCCAGGCCGACCTCTGCCGCGCCGGCTGCCCTCGGTACGGGATGTTCTTGAGCCGTGCCCGCGCTCCAGCTTACGCGAGACCGGTTCCCGCTCGTGCCGCTCTCCGGACGGAGTTCCGCGTAGAGGCTGGCAAGTGCCGGGTAGAGCGTGCCGGCTTCAAACGGAGGCTTCTCGTCGAGCGCGGCAGCAGCACCGCCGGTCCCCGCGATCGCCCGGCCGCGCTTGCGCTCCCGCGCCGCCGGGAGGCTGTTAGTTCGTGCCAGCGGCCGGTGGGCGCCGCCGTGCCGCTCCACCCAGCGCTTCAGCATCGCCTGCGCCTCAAACGCCAGCGACGTGAGCTCGCGCCGCCGCAGCAGCTCGGTGAACGGCGCCAGCAGCGGCACCGAGTCGGCTGCCCCGCCATCTTGCCCGGCGCCGCCCGCCAAGTCCCGCTCGAGCATGTAGCCCAGGAAGAGGTCGAGGAAGTCCAGGTACTCGTCGTCCTCCAGCTCGAACTCCCAGCTCCCGACAGGCGGCAGTGACGCCGCCGCTGATGCCGCCGCCGCCGCCGCTGCCGCCGCTCCCTCTCTGCCAGTGCCGTGCACCGGATCAGTGCCGGCGTTTCCGGCTACAACGCGGCTCCCGGAATCGGACCACTCGTCGCGGAACGGCGATTTGCTGTCACCACCGCTCGCCCGTCTCCTCCTCCCTCCGGCGCCCACCCGCTCGTCCAGCGACAATCCCTTCCTCACTCGCGTCTTCCCCAACGGCTCCGCCGCGGCCACCGGCGTCGTCGCCCCGGCCGACGTGGGCGACGACGCCGGCAGTGGCGCCTTGCTCCCCGACAAACCCCTGCCCGGCACGGTGCCGTGCCGCACGAGCGAATCGGAGAAACACCGAACCGCCGGCCGCTTTCTGCTCGCGTCTGGATCCGGGGCCCCCAGCGCCGCCGCCGCCGCCGCCGGCGGCTCGTCCGCATTGCCGGCGCTTTCCGAGTCGGCCGACCCGGAGCGCAACAGCGGACGAAACCTGGCGGCGGACACCGAGGCGTCATCGTAGTCGTCCCCGTGGTCGTTGTTGGAGGCGGGCTCCCAGATGTGGGCGAGCACGGTGCCCATGGTGCGAGCGACGCGCGCCAGGAAGCGATCGCGGCGTTCCTGCTGCTCGTCCAGACACAGGGACACGCTCTGCTGCTCCGCTGAGCCCTCCTCTGCATCTGCACGACAGTGACAAGAGCCATCATCATCGTCGTCGTCACCATCACAATACTTCACAATACGTAACGATGATAATAATAATGACGATGATGTACAAAGCAGCTCGGACATATGCGCGGAGTGTGTGCCGTGAGTGTGGTGTGTGTGGGATGTGGAGTGTGTGTACTCTGTATGCAGTGTAGCGTATATGTGGTGTGCGTGGTGTGTGGTGAGTGTATGGGTTTAGCCTGGCACAAGTACCCTGGTGACGTCAATGCCACTTAATGGCGAATGGTGGTTGTTGTTGTTGTTGTGTATGTGTTGTCTGTAGTTTGTGTGGTGGGTGTGGTGTGCATGGTGCTTGGGAGCCCAAGCTGCTGTGTTCGTGGTGGTGATGGTGGTGGCCGTCAGCAGGAGCTGCACGCCCCGTACCTTGCACGTTGACGTAGCGCAGGCGCTTGAGCAGCGAGCGGTGTTTGTCCTGCAGTGGCACGCGCACCACCTCCGCGTCCGGGAACGCCTGCGCCAGAATCTCCGCCATCTGGCACCATCGCAGCGCCAGCGGCAACAAACGCGAGCACTACAGTTGAACAGCACCGTACTATTGTCGAACAGCACCATAGATAAATGCACTGGCAAGTGTCCTGCCTCTCCGTCACAGCTCCTCCCGTCCAACCGCTCCCCTCTCACCCTTCCCCTCGCTCCCCTCCCTCGGAACCACCCCTCCCCTTCCACACCATCTCCCCCCACCACCCCCGCCTCCGTGCCGGACCTGTCGTGTGGGGGGCAGCTCTGCGACGAGGCTCAGCACGAGGTCCTGCAGCAGCTCCTCGGCGTGCAGGAAGCGTGCGAAGGGCAGCAGGCGGCACGCCCACGCCAGCGCCGCCTCGCACTGCGCCGTCACCGCGCCGTCGAACGCGAACACCGAGCCGCGCTCCTGCTGAGCGGGCGGCAAAACCGGCGAGAGGTGAGCCGGCGCTGGCCGCGCTCGCAACCCCCCCCGATGTCGACAATTCGTCAAACTAACCGCCGTGCGGGAATTGTAACACGCCTATTAATTAAAGTTCAAGGTTAGGCGGGAGAATTCAGGAATTCACATGCGTCTTTACAGAACTCGCGGTGGCTCAGCTGGGATTGCTGGGCCATTCATGGGAGTAGTTATCACACCATACGGACGTTATAATGATTTCACTGTTGCGTCCGACTCTTTTCACTTTGTAATAACGGGATGCTACATGCCGTGCTGTAACGGTCAGCACGCTGGACTTGCAATCCAGCGGTCGCCGGTTCGATTCCACCTCCCGACGTGTGGCAGTCTAGGCAATGGGAGCGAGTTTTCTCAAACGCCCCCTGATGCCTCTTGTCCACCTAGCAGTATACATGGGTTCAGCACCAGTCAGCCAACGTGTGGTGGGAAAATAAGTGGGTAAAGCCCACCACGTCTGGCCGGCGTTGAAGACGAGGCCAAATACCGCATAGAGGGCAGCTGTTTAAGGCTCCAGTCTCGTGGAGGCCCTTTCCGCCAGTAGTGGAGCGAGCGGGCAATCGACGTGACACGACCTCTCTGACTTGAGAACGAACGGTCGACAGGATGGTCAATCCCACGAGCCTCTCTCCCCACACCTCGATGGCACCGTGCGGCTGGTGGTGCTGTGTGGGAGGAGGTCACCGGCCCGCGTGGTGGTGGTCGTGCTGGTGGTGTTACCTGCACGGTGTGCAGGCTGTCGCGCGCCGCCTGGTACTTGCGGCAGCACTCGGAGAGGCGGTCGCGCATGTGCAGCAGGAAGCAGAGGGCACAGAGCTCACGGAAGCAACCTGGGTCACGTGACGCACACACGCACACAGGGCCGGGGATACGGAGGGAATCCGGCTCAGGTGAAAGTCAACGTCCAAGTGATTCCCTGCTCAAATGAGCATTAAGGCATGAGCGTTCATCTTCTGTTCACAGCCCTGCAGAGCCAGTGGTGGAAATTCTACATTCCTATGGCGGGACAAATCCATCCATAGGCCAGCAACTTTTGACTTCCCCACAACATGGTACTCGTTTCATCGACCCCCAGCCAGGATCTGAACTCGGAACCTTCCGATTGTGAGCCGCTCACTCTACCACTGAGCCACATGGCCGGGTTAAAGTCCAACATCCCATTTAAAAAAAGATGCCTTTACAGATTTTATAGATTCACACGACTGTGATGCAATTGGTTTTGCTCCAATTTCTATTTGCTTCGTTGTTGTGCTTGTTTTTATGTTGCTGCTTATCATCCTTATCTCTAGAGTTCTCACCTGGTTAAACAAATGAACTTGACTTGACAATGCCACTATAATACATCCTTACACGCACAATTCGATTCACAAAGAGATCCGCAGAGAAACTGCGGATCTCTTTGCGAATCGAATCGTGATTCGGAATCGCGAGAATCTATCGAATCACATCCAGAAAAATGGCCGCAGAAATCGTGACCCCAAAATCGTGACCCCAAAATCACGATCCCGAACCGCGACCCCCGACGAATCAAATTGTCGGTGACTGCGAGAACCGTTACCAAGAACGCGCGCCGTCGTGCCCTGCCCCTCGGCCCCCGCTCGCTCGAGCGCAACGCCCCGCATCCTCGTGTACACCAGCAGGGAGGGGGGCAGCGGCTTGGGGGGCGGCCGCCCCTCCTTGGCACGGATCTATCAGGGGAGAACGCACGGCAATAAACGAGATGACGACGACGACGATGGCGCCGCCGCCGCTGCTGCTGATGTTACTGATGAAGACGATAACGCCGCTACTGCCGCTGCCGGTGCAGGCATAGCAATCATAGTGCACCACACCTTGTCCACATCGCACCGCTCGCCCTCTCGCTTTCACTCGTGCACCGCAAACAGCCCGCACCGCACCACCCTCTCTCGGGCACTGCGCCCCACCCAGACCGCAGCGCGCACACACACACTCTCTCTCTCTCTCAGGCAGCAGCGAACCTTGCCCACGGTGCGCCGCACTCTCTGCAGGCGGCGGATGTACCACTGCGCGGCGGGGAGGGAGCAGCGGGACGCGCGCAGCAGTGCCAGCGCCCGCTGCAGCGCGCTCGACGCGCCGTGCCGGGAGCGCTTCTCCTGCGCCAGCGCCGCGTCCTCACCCTCCTGCGCGTCACCGCACCGCACGTTAGCCCTCCGTGTGACCACCGTGACCCCCGGGGTCGGAACGCCGGACACCGGTGCAACAAGAACGTTTTTTGTTTTTGTTTTAACTCTCCCGCTTGTACATCGCCACTTCCAGAAAAATAAATACCGAATAGCAATAGTTTGGAGATTTATAAGGCCCCCTTAAACAATGGATCTCAGAGCACCATGCACACAAAGGATGAAGGAATGAGTGAGAAGTAGCCAGAGAGAGACCAAGGTGAAAAGACAGAGAACTAGAGACAGAGAGGAGGCCGCTGCGTTAAACAACCAGTGGGGCCACCAGCCGGGACTTAGAAGTCTCCATCGACTGTCAGTTCCTGACCTCTAGGAGCAGCGAACTCTGGAGCCTGGGTGCCAGAGGTCATCCCAGGGTCAGAGCCTGGAGTACGGTTACACTCAGTAGGGCGCGATCGGTGCATCTCAAGAGTTTTCAGCAGAGCGTGTGGCCGGATAGTGGAATGTGCGGCTGAATCAAAATACGGTGGAGTGGACAATAACGGTCGGCATGCTCGTCAATAACATTGTGACATTAAAAGGAAAATAAAATAATAAACAAAACTAATATTAATAAAATAATAGACAGACAAAATAAAAGATAGATAAAATGCTAAATAAATAACATAAATAAAATAGCAGATAAATATAATGATAAATAGACTGGATAATAAATAAATAACATGAAAACAATATAATAAATAAATAGAATGATAGCGGGGGAAAATAAGAAATAAAATACTAAATAAATGGAATTAGAAATAAAACAGTGAATAAATAAAATGATAAATAAATGTGGCGAATGAAAAACGTAATAAATAAAATAAAATGGTCGATATATAAAATGACAGATAGGTAAAATAACAAATATTACATTAGCTATGTGGGGAAATAAATAAATAAATATAATAGCAAATAACAGGCATCGTTTTGAGCGATGGCCCTTTTGCACAGATGCTGAGCATCTGTTCTCCGTGCCTGTGTGCACCCGCTGCCAACACGGTCCCGGACCGAGCGCAAGCACCTGGAGCTCGACGCCGAGCTGCGGGCAGTACAGCGGCGGCGCCGGCAGGTAGAGGCCCGGCGGCACCAGCCCGGCCAGGCAGCCTCCCCCGGCGCGCTCCCGGGCCGCCTCCACGGCGCCGGCGAGCGCGGGACCCAGCGCGTCCACCCCGGCCATGGCGGCCGCGTGCAGCATCTCGCGCAGCGCGGCCAGCAGAGCGTCCGGGGCATCGTCCTCTCCCTCCTCGTCGGCAGCGCCGGCGGCAGCGCCAGCGGCGGAGTCTGCGAGCGGTGGGTGTGTAAAGGTTCACGGCGCCGCCCCCCAACCGCCAGTGGCACACGTACAGTCATAGCTACCATTACGTGTACCGTCACGTGTACCGTCACGTCTACCATTCCGCGTACCGTCACATGTACAGTAACACCTACCAATGCCTGTACCGTCACATGTACTGTCACGTGTACGGAGACATCTACCAATACCTAGAGAGTCACATGCACCTCTCACATGTGTGGGTTTTCTCCAGGTGGTCAGGTTTCCTCCCACGTGAACACTTATTAATTGACCTATTAATATATAGTGTCGGCACTGGCTCATTGCGTGGCTGCTACTGCCTTCCTGCTCGACATCATCACCGGGGGCGTGGTGGCGCAGACTTTCCAATTTCGACCACCAGCCCCGCGGACAGAAACCACCGCCGCCGATGCGGCGCTTACCGGACGCGGTGCCGGCTGTTCCATCGGCCGCCCGGGCTCCGTCCGGGTCCATCTGCGGCGCCGTTAAAGGCGTCTGCAGCAGCGCCTGCAGCTTCTCCTGCAAAATCCTCGCGGGGCGGAGGTCGTCGGGGAGTTGCAGCGATGCCCACGGTGGCCTAAGAGAGCAAATGCACGACAAGGGGCCTCATTGGAAAGGCCATCTCCAAAACGTGTTTGGATCATCTTTACGAGCGTTATCTTTCCCCACCCCCTCCACTTGTGACAGACACAGACGGATGGATGGGCAGAGTTCATGCATTCATGATTTCAACATTAGTTGAAAAAGCATTAAAAAAATCCGCCACTATTCATCGAACTGAGTTTCGGGTTTCAAGTTGATTCTGTCTCATTTTCAAGAGTAAGTGACCTCGGTCACCACAATGCCAACAGCCAAACGAACAAAAAAAATCTAACGCACGAGGAGAGACTTGCGCAACCCGAACTCAACTCACCCCGCGGGATCAGCGCCAGCTAGACTGCCGTTGTGGCGGCGGTGGAGGTGGCGGCTGTGGTGGTGGTGGTGGTGGTCGTGCGAGCGGTACGCCAGGCCGACGGCCACCGCCGTCTTCCAGTCACCGAGCGTGCGCGCAAGCCACACGGCCTCCGTGTGGAGCCCCGCCACGAGCAGCAGCTCCAGCGCGTACTCGGGGCTCCAGGCCGACGACACGCGCTGGGCCCGGGCGCTCGCGCTCACGCCGGCACGGCTCACCGGCAGCAAGCGCCACCGCGGGGAAGGAGCTGCCGGCGGTACAAGCGACCGTCAGCAGCAGCAGCAGCAACATCAGCAGCATCATGAGCAGCAGAATCACCAGTAGCATCAGCACACGCAATCTCGCACTGGAACCGACTCACATTGTTATCATCATCATGCTTATCATAGTCTCACCATCGTCAAAATCACAGCCATTTTCAGCATCAGCATCAGCAGCGTTACCACTCCGCTCGGTTCCCACTGCGCTACGTGCATTACGCATGATTGCTCTGAATTGTGAAGAGCGACGGACAGGGTGTTTGCCGCAGCCCCGTACCTGCCGTCGTGTGCAGCGGTGGCAGCGTCTGCACGCTGTGCGGGGGGAACACGTAGAGTGCACGATTGGTGAAGTATGCCGCCATGAACCGGCCCATGGAGCGAACCACAGCCAGCGCCGCCCGCTCACAAATCCCCGGCGCTGCGGGCGAGGCGAGCAGCACGAGGCGGCGGTTAGCGACGCGGACCACACCGCCTTCATCGTGCACCGCACCGACCATAATAGTGCTCGCTAACAGCACTTACACACAACAGGCTCTTAAAGCTACACAGGAGATCTTTATCTTTGTATGTGTCTCGGATGTGTGTGAGTCACCTGTGTCGGTGTGCGGGTGCAGGAGGCGTGCGGCCATGCGGTCGCACAGGCAGAGTGCGGGGAGCAGGTGGAGCGCGCGCAGGTGAGCGTAGAGCAGCGACAGGCAGTGCCGCGTCTGCAGGTGAGCGCCACGCCTCCCCCCTGCCGCAAAACCATCGCCACCGTTTACACCGCGATGCCACTCACCGTGATGCGACTCGCCGTGGCGGTGACAGTTTGGTGCACATCGGCCGTCACCGATCCCGCAAAACGGTGCTTACGATCGCCAAGCCGCAGGCCCGACGGCCGCGGCTCCGGTTCCGTACCTGAGTCGGTCTCTTCCAGAACCGCCCTCCGCCAGGTGTGCACTGCCTCGTGGTATGAGCCGCTCAGGTATAGTTCCTCTCCTGCGCGCCAAACACACAGATGCCCCACCCACCCCCGCCCCCAAGAGCTAACACAGGTAACTCAAACACAGGTGGCACACACACACACCAACACGGCTAACACAGACATGCTGGGTTTCATTGCATTACGCAGTGCACTCGCCACAACAATACCGCTCCCGACTGGGTAACACACACCGTACGTAGCCAACCGTGCTAATCGGAGGTGCGGGGGAAGGACAACAAACGAAACACAAAAAGCAGTTCTCAAGAAATGAGATTTCAATCGAGATTAAAAAACTATCAAGTTGGTGGAGGTGGTACAAGTAATGGTAGTAATAGTGATAATGCTGCTGATGATGATGGTGGTGGGTTTAGTGGTGGAAATTGTTGCGAATTATATTGATACATATTAAGACGGGCGTGGTGGTAACAATGGTGGCGATGCCACTGCTGATAATGATGGCAGTGGTGATGGTGCCGCTACCGATGAGCAAGATGGCAGTGATGGTGGAAAGTTGTGACCATGCTGTACTATCGGTGGTGCTGATGGTCATGATAATGACGATGCCATCACTGCTTCCGATGGCATCGCCGGCCCGGCACAGTAGACGCACCGGCGATGTCAAGCAACGGTTTCTGCCGTGGAAAGCTCCCGTCCACGCACTGCAGGTGTGCCTGCACTGCCGCAGCGATACGCGAGGCCACCAGCCGCTCCTGAGCTGCCCCGTCGTCACAGTCATCAGCACCGTGCCGCCACTGCAGCTGCTGCTGGAACTGCAAAACGTGTCTGTACAGCAGCCTCCAGCAGGTGACGAGCCTGGACGCGCACAGAGACAGCGAAGCCCCTGCGATGAACTCAACGGGAACCTACTGTCAGGAACACGTCAATGGAGACGGTACACGAGAATTTGTTGCCGGCTCCGGCAGAGATGCGCGCACCTGTCGCAATTGCAAACGAGATGTTAATACCTCTGAAGGGAATGTCCGCGTAAAATATTTGAATACAAACATTTACACCCTGAGCCTGCCTGTATCGGTGATTTTCTTACGGGCAGCCCTGGGAAGAATTAAAATCGGGAAATTAATGCGGTAGTGAGATATATTGTTCAACTTACCTATGAGTGAGCTGCAATGATAAGCATTGATAATTATTAAGAATAATTACCGTGTTCGATGCTGGTAGATGTGACAATTTAATTCGTTTGGCTGTCAGGTGGTGGATGGTTTGAACGACATAAATTTGGCCAGATCACATCCGTGGCCTAACCAAGGAATCAAATATGAATCATAATGATGGCCGCAAAAAGCCAACGTGTTCAGTGCAAATTGTTTAACCATGTAAGAACTGGGTGGGTAAAGGAAGTGTGGAAGGGTGAAAGGTGGGGAGGAATGTACAGGACTGATCTGGACATCACTCTCCACCACTGATATTAGCCGTGGCCAGGACTGGAATTCAAGGCACGGGATTCATAGGGCAGTGGCTCAACCACTGCGTCACAGCTACCGCCCCTGTCGAGAGAAATAGAGTTGTTTATGTCTCGTGAATATTATTTATATGTTTCCTTATGTGGTCAAAGACTCGAGTGAAGCAACTTCAGAAGCAGTAGAAGATACGCAGACACAGAGACACGCAGACACAGAGACACGCAGACACGGAGACACGCAGACACGGAGACACGCGGAAATACAGCCGCCACGTCGCTCAGCGAGTGGTAACCGGATATTCCCGTTACGCACCTGTGTGCCGGCCGGCTACTCTCTCTGCCGGCGCTGCGTGCGGGGAGGTGCAGGACGGACCTGAGCCACTCCGGCCCCACCACCGTGACCCGCCTGGAAAAAGTCGGCGCCACCCGCCGGTCTGCTGCTGCCGGTGCATGGCACAACGCGTAGAGCTCCGCACCAGTGCCAAGCCCCTCTCGTACGGAATCTGCCATCGCTTCTTCCATCGCCACCTCCGCTGGCACTTCATCGTCCTCACCGGGAGGCTCTACCGGTGGCGCAAGGCACGGTTCGGGAAGCGGCGGGTGGACCGGCGGATCTGGCGCCGGTGCCAGCACCAGCCCGCACGCGCGGTCGAGCCACGCCTCGGCGAAGGACAGCAAGGAAAGAGCGGCGAGCAGCGACCGCAGGCGCGAGCGAGTGTCGCCGGTGTCGGCGCGCCCGCCCAGCAGCGCCGCTGCCACCTCCAGGCTCAGCCGAGCGCCGTACGGAAGGGCCCGGCGGTGCCGGCGCCGGCGGTGACTGCAGTGGAGAGACAGGGGGAGGGGCTCGCCGGGCCAACAGAGCACCAGTGCGCAGCGCCGGAAGAGCTGCAGCACCGCGAAGGGCCAGGGGTCGCGGCGCATGGAGCGTGACGCGGCTCTGCCGGCGGGGCCGGCGCTGCCGCGGGGCCGATCGGAGAACTGCAGCAGCACCGACAGGCGAGCCACGCACTTTACGGTGAAGGTCATCCAGGTGTCCCAGAAGTCGACATCCCTGGACAGCAAGGTGCAGAGACAAAGACATGCGGGAGATTTTGTTTACATGTATGCTTAAGAAAATATATATAATTTTGATAATTTACAGGGATCGGTATGCTAGACAGGAGCTGGCTTAATTGCCACGCTGGTGAGTGCGGCCTGATGAAAGGGAGCCGTCCCTGGAATTGAAGCACAGTACGCTAACCACGGCGCTACCGCACAAACCCACACGTACACACTTCATTGATCAAGAGCCAAAACTAAATAACACCAACGTGTCTGCTAATCGCTAACTGCCCGGAGGAAGCGCCCCCCCCTCACCTGAGGGTGAGCAGCAGGTGCCACGCGACGAGCAGCCGGCGCTGAGCGAACGAGAGCCGGGCCGAGAGATCCGCGCCGCCCGTGATGGTGCCGCCCGCCGCCGTCAATTCCATCTCCCCCTCGGCGGTCCGGGATTCCTCGTGCATCCCCGCAAACTCCACGCGGCCGTGCTCCATGCGCACGTACGGGTGGGGGTCGGGGCCCCCCCCTCCTCCCGCATCCCCCGCCCCCCCTTCCTCTTCGTCCGAAAGGTCGTCGTAGAGGTCGTCGCCCTAGCGACCGGCGGACAGTGTTAAAAGGAGAGCCGGGGCGACGAAGTGGATAATAGTTTATTGAGGCGCGAAAACTTGGAATCGTAATTGACTACTTCCTTTGTGGTTCACTAATACAATAGGGCCCCTTGAGAAATAGCGGTTGCCCCTACATCCTGCCTCCTGAAGGTGGGAAACCCCCTAAAAACGCCCTCGAAGCCCATCATCCATCCATGATCGACAATATCGGTACCACTTTGTGGGGAAATCAACAGTGGTTGTCCTATCGATATGCTTGTCCCCGCCATATGAACGTGTAATTTACACTGCTGGCTAAGGGCTGTATACGGGAGATGAGCACCAATGCCTCAGTGTCTGTTTGAGCAGCAGGAAATCGCTCTGGCTTTGTACTTTATAATAACCAATGATCATAATTATTATTGAGAGAAACGACCGATTCAAAACGGAGAGGGCGCTGAGCTAGCGAAGCGGGTCACGAGAGTCGTGGTCGTAGTTTGGTGGCGGGGGGCTGCTCACCTGCAGAGCTCGGTGGCCCCTATAGGGCCACTCGTCGGGGTCTTGCTGCAGAAAGGGGGGCGGCGGTAGTGGCGGCGGCGCCGCCGCGGCGTCCGCCGTCACCGTCTCATCGGGGGGCGGCGCGCCCAGCACCGAGAGGCTCCGTAGCAGCACCGCCTCGCCAGGAAGCTGTCAGGGGCATCGTCGTCACCGTTAGCCACGATCCATCTGCTGCTGGATGAAAGCCTACTCTAGAGTGAGTGTGCTCATCTGGTGAGTGTGTCTATCTGGTGAGCGCGACTGCGGTGAGCCTGGTGAATGTCACTGCAGTGTGCCCGGTGAGGGTGAAGAGCGGTGCGGAAGCTCCGCGCCGCCGCACCCGCGATGCCGCCAGGCCGATGCGGACGTCCTCGAGCGTGCGGTGGACGTCCTCCAGCGCAGCCTGCACCAGCCTCGCCGACGCCAGTTCACCGCCCAAACGCATCACCGTCACCACGTACCCTGCGGCACACCACAAAGCTCACCACTCACCGCCCAAACGCATCGCCGTCACCACGTACCCCGAGATGAGCGGGGCGAGGCAGGAGAGTGCGTGCGGGAGAGCCGAGTGAGACGGCGCCCGTACCATCGGACGCAAGCAGGAAGGGCAGCCGGGGGTGCGCGCTCACGGAGAACCGCTGGCGCAGGGCGTCCGCCTCGGAGGCGGCCGAGCCGTGCGACGCCGTCGCGTCGGCACTACCACTTGCACTTTCACGCGCGGAGAGGAGAGGGGAAGGAGAGAGTGGAGTGGTCCAGGTGTCAGGGATGCTGAGCCGGCACCACTGAGATCTACTGAGATCCTGGGTTCATATCCTGGGTTCATATCCAGGGTTCAGCTGCCCATCATTGAACCGGGTTCTCGAGTGTGGCAAGAGGATGGTCTCAGTCTGAACCATAGACTACAGAGAAACCCAGTGGCTTACATTGAAATCCACAGACTACATAGAGAGGTTCTTGAAGTGACGGAAGTGACTTCGTGGAATAAAGCCAGAAACACAGCATTTCCAGGTTGAAAATATCCCCTTTGCAGTGGTAGGCCTCAGTTATCCATCGAACAGCCCTGCGTTGGTAAGGAGTGCTGCATCACAGGCTCTTTATAAATGGCGATGTTTGGATCACGGCTGATGACGACGAAGACCTCACCTGTACGTGACGAGGGGGTGGAGAGGGATGAAGAGGGCCGGACCGAACTCCACTGAGCAGCCGTGCGTGGAGAGCGAGAGGGGCTCCCCGAGGCGAGACACGAGCAGCAGAGCGCCGCGCTTGAGCATGCACGCGAGCAGCGCGTCCCCGCTCAGCCAGCTCGCGTCGCTCACCCAGTACGACCTGAGGCGAGGGGCGGCACGGGGAGGCATGACACGGGGAAGGGGCGACGCGCCGATGGGCGACGCGGTCAGGAGTTAACAGCTCGCATCGCCCACCTAGCACAACCAGCGGGCGCCCGCAGTCAGCCTTCTGTGTGTCCACCTTCACTGACTCTCACGGTCGATCCTCACAGCATCATACGGTTGACCCTCAACTTGTGATGTGTCCACCTTCACTGTGTCAATCGTTCCTATGTCAACCCACTCTCTTTGACCCTGCCCCGACCCCCGCTCTCCGATGTCAACCTTCAGAGCCGGATCAACCCCTCCCGATCCAACGCTCCGAGTGTCCGCCCGCCCGCCCTCCGTGTCGACCCTCCCGGCCGTATTTCAGTTCCACGGTGAAGTCAGCGGCGGACGCGGGGGCGAGCTGGCTTCTCGGCGGCTCAGGGCGCGCCGTCGTCCGCGGCACGGGATGGCACGTGGGCGGTGACGGCACCGGTAGTCGGGCGGGCGGGCGGGCGGGCGGGTGGGCAGGCGGGCAGCACCGCACCTGATGAACTTGGGCAGCAGGGTGGGGCCGCGGAAGCCGCAGCCCTGCAGGTGGGAGGACACCGAGACGCCGCCCGTCGCAGACGTGAACAGCACCTGGGTGGCCTGCGTGGCAGGGACGAGGATTTACGTTGATTTTGTTCAAGCGGGTGAGGCCACAGGAGGCCGGGACAGAGTCTCATTTGCAAGAATGAGTGACCTGGGGTCATCAAAATGAAAAAAAAAAAACTATGCCAGTACAGCAAATCAAGCAAATAGAAATTGGAACAAATGGAACAAAAATATTGTACAAACGTAGATCGATGTTAAATCAAATATTCCCTTGAGCGCAAGTTGGCCAGGATAGATTTGTATTGACTGATCATAATACAATTACAATTATGTTACGTAACATGAAACGGATATTGGGAGACTTTCGTATAAAATGTAAATAGGCAAGGATATACGAGTTAAATGCAGTTGCAAGTGAAGTGATCTGCAACACGGCAGTGAGCTAACTTAAGGGCTTTGAATGAGATATTAGAGCCCATTTCACGAACCCTTGATCTGATTAGCAAAGTACATGGTACTTAAGGGATTGAGAGGGCAAATGTTAATAGAAGACATGAGGCACTCACACTCAAGCACATGCACAGACATACACACACATACGTATACAACAAGACAACCAGTGACGTTACCACGGCACTTGTGCCATGCTAGGTGCACCTTATACAAAGACAAAGATCCCCCATATAGCCTTGACAGACTGTTGGGGCAAGTGCTGTCAGCGAGCAACTATGAAGGCCGGCACGACACATAAGGGGGTGGGTGGCCAGCACCACGTTCGGCCACCTTTGTCTCCTGGGTGGTGATGTTTGCACACCGTACAAGGTACTCATTTGAGGCTGAGTTGACCGAGGCAAGGCCGAGGAATGGTTCAGCTTATACACATACACACATGCTTTCAAGCACAGAACTACACAAACGTGCGCATCTATACAAATATTGTAGCTGAGTGCAAGATCCAGCAGTGGACAGATCACTGCCGACGATGGCGGCAAAGTGGAGGATGACGCAGAAGGATGACGGGCGGCCCGGTGTTCACCTGGGGGTGCCTCTGGTTGACGGCGATGGCGAGCACGTGCCCCTCGCTGGAGAGACGCGCCACGTACGCACCGCGCGACTTCACGGCCTCGCACGCGGGGGAGAGGGAGCCCAGTGCGCAGGCAAACCCGTGCCACGTGGCACTGAATGGCGCCACGCTGGGGAAGGCATGGACAGAGGCGGCGGTCATGCTCTGTAGTAAACAACTCGTCCTTCGCTCACCCACACACACCGCTCACCCTTCACTCACCCGCACACACCGCTCACCCTTCACTCACCCGCACACACCGCTCACCCTTCACTCACCCACACACACCGCTCACCCTTCACTCATCCGCACACACCGCTCACCCTTCACTCACCCGCACACACCGCTCACCCTTCACTCATCCACACACACCGCTCACCCTTCACTCACCCACACACACCGCTCACCCTTCACTCATCCGCACACACCGCTCACCCTTCACTCACCCGCACACACCGCTCACCCTTCACTCACCCACACACAACGCACATTCCTTCGCTCACCCACATACACCTCTCATTCTTCGCTTACCCACACACACCGTTCATCCTTCGCTCACCCACACACACCACTCACCCTTCACTCACCCACACACAACACACATCCCTTCACTCACCCATATACACCACTCATCTTTCACTCACCCACGCAAGCCGCGTGGTGAGCGGTAGCGTGGGAGCCCCGCAGCGGGCTGTGAGGTTGGCGGCAGAGCGAGGGAGGAGGCTCGCGGCTCACCTGAAGAGCGCGTCCGAGCCGTCGAGCCAGCGGAGGAGGAGGCTCGACATGATGAGACTCTCGCCGGCGCTGAACACAAACGAGCAGAGGCAGCAATCGCCCAGCTCCTGCACGCGACGGGGACCGGAGGGGCGACATCGTGGAGGAGGCAGTACACATTCACACACTCAAAGCAACATTTGTGACTCGGTTTTCCTAAAAAACAAAGTCGGAATAGAAAAGTAGCAAGTGATGTTGATATAAAGAACTCTGACAGAAGGCTGAGGTCAGGCATGCCCCATGTAATTAACGGACTAATTAACTGGCAAACAAGCTAATAAGACCAATTACTGTGGCCAGCACCTGACCTCTGCTCCGCTGTGCAAGAAGCCGAGCTGTGCTCGTGAGCACGAGTGGCAGCAACCCATTCTCTGAGCCCTCAATCGCACACGCACGTGCGTGCAGGAACTAATGCTGCGGTCAGCCTAATCGTTAGCAGCTGAGCTGTGCATTGTGCTCTGTCTTTTTCCACACGTGCAGAATTTTAATTGTTCAGCTCAGCGCTCCAGATAAGCGACGTCCAGGGATCTCAAAGGCAGTTCTGTGATATTTCACTTTCGTGGACTCTTCTCCAACACAAAGAGTAGGACTGCTCTGCGAGAATTCCAGATGTTTCCGACTCATGAGGCCAATAGCACAGGGAGAGAGCCCTTATGTCAACCTGCTGCTGGATGAAGGCCTCCCAACGCTCTCTAACTCTAGCGCCGGCGCTCACCGGATCTGTGAAGAACACCGCGTGCGCCGCGGCCTCCTTGTCGGCGGCGCCGGGCAGCGGCACGTCGCTAGGCGGAGGCAGCTGAGCCCAGTGGCCAAGCAGGAGTGAGCCCGGCACGGCGTGCGGGGGGCCCTCCACCCCGCGCAGCTCCCACAGCAGGGGCCCGTCCGGGGACCCCCCAAGCAGCACGCGCCGGCCCTCGTCCGAGGGGAGCACCCACAGACGGGCGGTCGAGCCTGGGAGCAAAAGGAAATTCAAACGCTTGCGGTCTGTTCGTATTTAGCGAACGGTGTTGTTTTAATTGCAATGCCTTATCCTCGTTGTGTGAGATTTCCTCACCTTCTAATCGGATGCAACTCCCAATCGGTTCAGTAGCCTCCTTGTCGGCGATTTTGTAATTAATTAATCGTAATGCTCTACAAATCTAAATCCTAATCCTCAGCAGAGCAGATGGGTAACATCAAGTCACATGTAACTATGAGGCGTGTGGCGATTGCAGGACCCCCAGGCAAACATTTGCAAAGGTTCAAGAATCCATCTTACTATAATCTCCTGGCCACCTCGCAACTCAAGCCAACAACACTTAATATATTAGACGAGGTGGCCGGGAAATGACAGTACAGCAAGTGGGTTGCGCGAGAATTCAGATGAGCATTCAGACTGCACTAGGACTCATCGGTACTGCCATGGCTACGTTTCTTGGTCCTGTACAACTGCTAACACTAACCCAGCCATCCTGTCCCTTTGGCATTCACTTCAAGCTTCAAGTGTATTTAGTTTATCCAGGTGTCGACAACTCGGGAGACCAGGATGAGTCCCGTTTGCATGAGTGACCCGGGACACCAAAAAAGAGCAATAACGTACACCCAAGTACAGCCTTGAAGCATATAGAAATAACAGCAAAAAACCACCATGTACCAGCAAAGGCAGCCAAACAGAAATCAGGGCAGAGATAACCGCGTTACACTTCTCGGTGAGTGGTGTGCCAGGCGCGGCACCTTGTTCGCCCGCACTGCTCGTGAGCGCCAGCACGGCCGGGTGGGCGGGTGCCGTCTTCAGTGAGTCCGTGTCCTTGTGCCACAGGAACAACTCCCCGCTCACCAGCACGCCGGCGAGCCACGCGCCTACGCTCGCACACACGCACACACGGACAGAGAATACAAACCACAGCATCAGCCGGTGCCAGCAAGAATCTGGTACCCACGAAAACCGGTACCAGCAAAATCCGGTAGCAATGAAATCTGGCACCCGTGAAATCCACCACCCATACCATCTGGCACCCCAAGATCTGGCATTCGCTTAATCCAGCAGCCATGAAATCAGAGGTGCCAAATAAATTGGGCACCCAATGACGCCGGCAGCAGTGTGGGCGCTTTGCGACTTGCCGTTTCTGGACGGCGCCATGGCGACGACGCGCGGGAGCAGCGGGTGGAGGCGTGGAACTCGGCGCCGCGTGCGTCCCGACGGTAGGAAAAGTACCGAGGCGCGGCGCTCGTCCAGCAGCAGCAGGTTCTCCGAGTCCTGGCGGTGCCGGTACCGGCGGTGGCACCGGTGGTGGCGCACGGAGAAGAACGGTGCGAGATTAGCCGTGGTTTACGGCGAGGCGCAACCTGGACGTGGTCGGGTGGCTCGCGGGTGGTTCATCATGGCTGTGTCAGAGACACTGAGATGTTTGTTGCATGGCGTCAAAAGTACGCTGTATTATTTTACCATCATGCTTGTTTAGCCTGGAAAGCCCCACTGAATCTCATGACTATTGTCAGGAGGGTCCTGCCAAATTTTCGCAAGAGGGAGGCGATGATTGCTATGCGTAACGTAAAATAATTACAAATAAATCTTCTTTATACTTTTCAATTCTCAGAGCTGATATTTTTACCCAACCTTTTTCGTGATGACATTTTAGTGCAGTCTTTATCAATTCGCTAAACTTTAGCATCATGATTACACAAGGCCGGATGGCTGAAACCTGGCTCCCCACGGCACCAGCTCAGTAATCTCACCCATAAGCCACGTGGCCTCCACTCCCATGCCAAAGGTTGAGAGTTAAGTACCAAAACAAAATCCACGCAGCTCGATACATCCAGCCTTTTGCACCAGAGTGCACGGCACGGGTGGTTTTCCACTGGCTATTCGCTGAGCGATGCCGGTACCACACCGCGACATTCAAACTGAACCTGGCTCGGGACGAAGCAGGGACTGGGACAATGACACGTCCAGCGCATGTGACCTCAACGGCACGGCTCGGCTTGTGAAGTTTAAAAACCGGGTGCCTCTGGAGCCGCGCCGAACTGGTTCGGCACGGTTCGGTTGTATGGTGGGGAAAAAGTAAGTATTGTGTCAAAAGCGACATCCTACCAGGCCCATCCATCTGATCTGAGGCCATGGCTTCCTTCGCTTGATGCTGGCCAAGGCCAGAACCTCCAATCTTCCCTGCATACTCCTGCAGAAGCCTGCACACACAAGTAGACACACAGGCTGCTGATGATCCTACAGATGTTTTATTCCACTTATAATGTTACTGATTTAGCTGCTGCTAATTATGATGCTGACGCTGATGATCCTGCTGATGATAATGCTTATAAAGATGTAACTATTTATGCTGATGATGATGCTGATGATGATGCTACTAATGATGACAACGTTGCTGCTAAAGATGGTGCTAATACTGATGCTGCTCATGACGACAGTGATGGTGCTGATGGCACATTTGATCGTGTGGATGATGATGATGCTTATAATAATGCGAATAAAGTTTTAACTTCTTACGCTACTGAATATAATGCTGATGATAATGCCGCTGCTGACGATAAATGCTGCTGATGGCAATTCGACTGATACTGAAGATGCTTCTGATGCTGCTGTTACTTATACTGAATATGCTGGTTATGTTGGTGTTGCTGCTGCTAAAGATGCTGGTGATGATGATGCTGGTGATGATGCTGCTGGTGATGATGCTGGTGATGATCCTGGTGATGATGCTGCTGGTGATGATGCTGCTGGTGGTGATGATGATGATGATGCTGGTGATGATGATGCTGGTGATGATGCTGCTGGTGCTGCTCGTGATGATGATGCTGGTGATGATGATGCTGGTGATGATGATGCTGGTGATGATGATGCTGGTGATGATGATGCTGGTGATGATGATGCTGGTGATGATGATGCTGGTGATGATGATGCTGCTGGTGATGATGATGCCGGTGATGACGATGCCGGTGATGATGCTGCTGGTGATGATGATGCTGCTGCTGCTGCTGCTGCTCGTGATGATGATGCTCGTGATGATGATGCTGGTGATGATGATCCTGGTGATGATGATGCTGGTGATGATGATGCTGGTGATGATGATGCTGGTGATGACGATGCCGGTGATGATGCTGCTGGTGATGATGATGCTGCTGCTGCTCGTGATGATGATGCTCGTGATGATGATGCTGGTGATGATGATCCTGGTGATGATGATGCTGGTGATGATGATGCTGGTGATGATGATGCTGGTGATGATGATGCTCGTGATGATGATGATGCTGGCGATGATGATGCGGCGTCTTCTGCTAATAATGTTGCTGAGGATGTTGCAGCTGATACCGCTGCTGATGATGATGATGAATGCTGCTGATTATGCTGATACCACTGCTGCTGATGATGAATGCTGCTGATGATGCTGGTGCTGCTGATGATACTGGTGCTGATGATGACTGCTGCTGATGATGCTGGTGCTGCTGATGCTGATGAGGCTGGTGCTAATAAGGCTGATAAGGCTGCTGCTGATGAATGCTGCTGATGAATGCTGATGATGATGCTGATGATGAATGCTGCTGATGATGCTGGTGCTGATGATGACTGCTGCTGATGATGCTGGTGCTGCTGATGCTGATGAGGCTGGTGCTAATAAGGCTGATGATGATGAGGCTGCTGATGATGATGCTGATGATGATGCTGATGGTGAATGCTGCTGATGATGATGGTGATGTGGCGCTAACCTCGACCCTCGCCTCAACTCTTCCTGCTCAGTCCACGCCGCCGCTGTCGCTCGCGTCCATCCTCACCGCCTCGCGGTGCCGCTCCACGCGCCGCTTCGCCTGTGGGAGTTGTTCACTTGTGGTTTACCACTTCTTCTTCTTGCCGATTGTTGTTGTTATTGTTGTTGTTTATTTGTCGGCGACTGCGATCGAGACCCCTCGAGTCCGAGGGCCGCCGTTCGAACCCCACGCCGCTTCCGTCGTCAGGGGGCGTGGCGGGTGCGTCATCCATGTGACCACGCCCCGGGACACGCCCCACTTCCGGTGTAAACATCCGGTGGGGGGGGGTGGCGAGTCGCTGACAGACGCGGGAGCTCCCGCGGGCAGGCGAGGCTCTGCGGTAGCCGCGTGGCCAGCCGCCGCGTGCCCCCCCCACCGCGTGCCCCCCCCACCGCGTGCCCCTCCCCCATCGCCGGCCACCGCGTGCCCCCCCCCCCCACCGCGTGCCCCCCCCCCCCCACCGCGTGCCGCCCCCATCGCCGGGGCCACCACGTGCCCCCCCACCGCGTGACCCCCCACGGGCCACCGCGTGCCCCCCCACCCCCGGGGCCACCGCGTGCCCTAGCAGTTCACAAATCCTTGCAAGATCTGGACACATTCTCATCAGTGAGCTCCTCCGCTGGCTGTGTCATCACGTAGCCCGCATGCTCAGCCACCGCATGCTCAGCCACCGCATGCTCAGCCACCGCATGCTCAGCCACCGCATGCTCAGCCACCGCATGCCCAGCCACCGCATGCCCAGCCACCGCATGCCCAGCCACCGCATGCCCAGCCACCGCATGCCCAGCCACCGCATGCCCAGCCACCGCATGCCCAGCCACCGCATGCCCAGCCACCGCATGCCCAGCCACCGCATGCCCAAGCAGCTTCTGTTTGGCCGCATAGAGGCGGGCTAAACGGGCACGACACGGGCTGGAGAAGAAATAGAGCTGATGCGGTCCGGGAGGATGTGGAGCTAAGTGGATTTGCCGACGACCGGTACCAGCGGTGTCAAGATCGGCTTCTTTGGAGGAGACTCGTGAAGGACGCTGCTGCTACTGGGCAGTTGGAGGCAGTCGCTCTCCAGCAACAGCGGAGGGCGGAGGAGCGACGCTCACAACAACGAGCAGAGCGCCGGGCGGCTAAGATGCAACTAGTTGGCACAGCAAGGGGCACAGCTGTTGTGCATTTCTACCGGTCATCTCAGTCAGCCGACCCATGGCACCCGGATCTGTCCCGTGACCTCCTGCCAGCGAACCTTCGACACTTCACGAGGCCTCGGAGTGCACCTAGCCTGGCACAACCGTCGTGGTGACGTCACCGCCACTTAGTGGCGAATGGCATTGTTGTGTGGAAGTGATTGGTGGTGATGGTAGTCTTTGTCTTTTGACGATGGTGGTTGCAGCATTAGCGATGATTGTTAGTAAGAGTAATTCATGGTCGTGATGCTGGTTGTAGTAATGATGATGGTGATGGCAGTGGTGATGGCGCGGGTGTTGATGATGATGGTGGGTGACGATTCTGATCATGAATATACTAAAGATGATGATCATAATCACGATGGTGACCAAACAATACACACTGAGCCACGGTCATCGTGCTGTGTGTGCGTATGGCTGAAACACAATGATTTAAGGGTGGTGATGATGATGCAGGCGACGATATAAGAAGAACAGCAGGTGGTGCTATAGTGCAAAATGTGACGGCAACACCGATTTAATGTTCACGTGAATCAATGACTCGAACTCAGAACAGTCCCACTCACTGTCCGCATCGACTCGACCTGATTTCATATTACAAGTGTGTTCTCAACACGCGCACATTGTTCAGAATGCCTAAGAATAAAAAAACGAATATTTGCGGAGACAAAGGCGGCCGGGCGGACGTGGTGCTAGCCTCATCCGTGTCCTTGTTGGCAGGGTGGTGGTGGCGTTCGCACGTAATCCAGCACTGTGAAGGCGGCGAGGGTTAGTGGATCACGCAAATGTTGTGAAAACGCTCCATGGTTGTCGAGGCGTTGCCATAACTCTGGCTCGTCAGGCAAAGGCAGTTCAGCAAACAAATGTGGATTCCGCCCGTTCCATCTGTGTGGGTTAGACTTTTCCCCTCGCACGCGTTGGATATTTGCGGATATTCGGGTTTCCTCCCACATATGGACTAGCCGATAACTTCACGGATAGAGGACTAATCTTGATTTGAAGCTTTTGTGACTGCAGGAATCCATACTCTTTGGTTCTTTCGGTAAAGTCACGTCGGTATAAAATAAAATAAATCACGACGTTTCGGGCGCAACACAAGCGTCCATCATCAGGTGGGAAAGCATCGATGACTGCAGATCTTGGGCAACTGTTGACGTCGACTAACCGCGTGGCTGGCTTCCCACTTGTTGGTGGCTCCTCGCGCCTCTGAATCGTTCTCTGTTCGAGCGTGAAAATATTCTGTCCGCGTTATAAATTTAAATACCTATTGTTTATACATTCTGCTTATCGTAATCTACGGGATTGTTAAACATTTTTAATCGCAAAAAAACCTCCACAAAATCTAGATAATTATAGCGACGCAAGTCTTACACGGAAGTCAGCTGAAATTCACCTGAATAGAATTCATACTCTTTGGTTCTTTCGGTAAAGTCACGTAGGTATAAATTATATACCGAAAGAACCAAAGAGTATGGATTCCTGCAGTTACGAAAGCTTCAAATCAAGATTGAATAGAATTCGTGGACAAAGATAACTGAAGAGTGCTTAGATAAGTGTGGAGAGATACGTGACCTGAATTACACTGAGAAAACGGGATGAGGAAGACGTGGCTCATAGAACAAATGCAAATCAGAGACATGATTTTTCCTAAAGATAAGTACATGTGCTTGGGCCAGGACACGGCGTGGCTACGAGGGATAACTATCGGTGGTCGAGACTCATAACGGAGTGACAAGCCAAGGAGAACACGCCCGAGTGAACGTCCACCGTAGCGGAGATGGAGCCATGAAATCGGCTCGCGTGCAGGGACTCGATTGATTGTGTTGCATCGCGAGACCATCAGAGGAGGCGAAGATGGCTATGGGGGGCCCTCATTCAGAAGTGGATTGATATTTGGCTGATAACGATCACGTACAGGCAAAACCTGTTGAATCCGTTTATGCAAACGGTGTCGTCAAACCGCATTTCATATCACTTCATTTGTATTCCTTGTTAAGTCTTTTCTTAAACAAATTCTGTCGATGCAAACCACAGATAGAGAGTTACGCGAGTGAGTTTCAGCTGGCACGAGAGATCGTTTTTGATAGCCGCACGATCCGCCTGGAATCATCGCGCGTGGCTTCCCTGATCCGGAACCGCAGCGAATTGATAAGGCGCGGATGTGTTCGTGCGCGGCCACTTTGTCAATCCACTGCTGGATGATGGCCCTCTGAACTCCCGCGTGGCTCGTGGGGGTTATTTAGCACACCACATCCAGTATTCTTCTCGTTATGGTCGTGGCTACATGGTCACGTGCATATTATTCCAGCCTATACCGGCGACTTGGAAAATATGCGCACACCGGGCAAACCACGTTCAGTATCCCTCTCTCAAGGGCTGTGGATAAAAGGTCACGCGCACACTACATACTATTCATTGAGTCATAGCCACTGATACAGACTGCCAAGATGAGACGAGTGTTATACACGTGTACACGTGCGCTTTCTTTTTTTTTCAATCCGTTGCATGTGCGGGTCGTGGGGAGCTATCTGGCCATACTTCACCGCGCTGGTCAGTGCGCGTTTGTGACAGGGGACGCCCAAGACCGGTTCAGGTATCACAACCGCTGTTCGTCGACTGCGCCACTGCTCCACCCCAAAGTTTGAAAACGGAGTACTATTTAAACTGGCGGGTGTCGGGTGGCACAAGAAACAATATTTTGTTCTTTGCATGCTTGATACAAAAATACATTGACAGATAACACAACCTCGGTAATGCATCTCTTAACAGTGCCTCCATACACACGGTTACACTTCACAAACATTCCGAAATGTAACAAACATCGGAACATTTGAAATCGGTCTATTTTTGATGCATAAAATCAGCTCGCTTGTGCGTGCCCACGATAAGCGGGGAGCGCGCGCTCGGGCGCAGCAGGGGCTGGGCACCCTGAGAGATGACACTGGCTTTGGGTGGAGGGCCTCCATCCAGCAGTGGATTGACCACTGCCGATGTGATGATGACAACGACGACGACGACGATGAAGAATTCTCGAATTCAGATACGCACACCGGACGCTTTTCTCAACAATGTTGCCCGTCCACTTTCGTCGCACAGACCCTTGGCACTGCAGTCCTATTATCACAACACATTGGCACTCAATACACACATAGGCAAAGGCGCAAACCCTGCAATTTTGCCTGCTCCCGCCACTGCTGGCAGATTGGCCGCCACTCGAGGGAGCTCTAGGAGGGTACGTCGGCCCACTCTCTCACGCGAGTACCCACACCTCGCCCCACCACTCTCGACATGCTGCTTGATCGGCGTTACTGCGGTCTACGCGTTTGTTGTACTGCTTGCTGGGTATTTGGTGCGGGGTGCGGGGTGGGAAGTCCACCATCGGTTCAACTGCCGCGCCGTTCCGAATAGAAACGGCGACCTCGGGATCGGCCCGGGATCGGCCCGGGCGTTGCGAACCAATTGAACGACGGTAGCTTCCCCCGTTGACAATAACATCGATCAATTATCCGGATTATAAGACGCTTCGGAAAGTAAAACTTACCCCCCCTCCCCCCTCCACAAATGCGTGCACGGTTTCCCGATGCACACAGATCTGGGCACACACAAACACGGACAACTACCGGATTGTAAGGCGCCTCTCCCCCCCCCCCCCACTCCATCCTCTGAACTTTTGTTTCAAAATACAATTTGGAGAGCGAGGTGACTGCCCCGCGTGTGTCGCTCCACCGTTTGGACTCGAGTCGCTAAGTGCTGTCAGTCAACTTCGCCATCTGCCCGAGAGTCGTCATTCTTCCTCGTTCCGTGTAGCCACTGCACTCTCGATAAAGCGGCGCTCAAAGCAAGCGATCTGAAGCAATCGTCGACAGCTTTAAACCACCGTGCCCTCTTGAATAAAACTGCCTGGCGTGTGATGCTGGTATAGTGGTGGTTGGTATGTGAGCAATGTTGGAGATTTTCCACTTTGGCGGTGGTGGGGGGTGGTGATGATGGTGGTGGTGGTGGAGGTGGTGGAAGTGGTGGTGTGGTGGAGGTGGTGGTGGAGGTGGTGGTGGAGGTGGTGGTGGATGAGGTGGTGGAGGTGGTAGTGGAGGTGGTG